ACGTCATCAGGCATGTTATCCTTTTTACGTGACGTCACAATAGGAAATTCAGAGGAATAACAAGAAAATTTGACGTCATAATTGAATTTTGACTAATAAAGAACTGAGATCAAACCAACCACACGTTGAATAAATAAAAAAAGATCAGGGATAATATCGGGTACGAATTAGAAAAGAGGATTTCTCTAATTCTTCGTCAATTTATCCGTTTCTGCACCCATTGTATAAAAAAAAATTTAATCAACGTGTGGTTCGTTTGATCTCAGTTCTTCATTGGTTAAAATCCGATTATGACGTCGAATTTTCTTGCTTTCCTCTGAATTTCCTATTGTGACGGCATGAAAAAAGGCGACCATGCCTGATGACGTCACATAGAAAGAACACATCTTTTTTGCAGATCATTCAAAAAGAAGGAATAAGTTTGCCTGCATATTGTTTGAAAATCATTAGAGAAACAGATTCCACCACCAAATCTCGTGTAATACGATATTTATCCACTCTCGACAGTTAAATTTTAAATATTTAAAACGCTCGGCGAGCCTCGCGTTTTAAATTTAAAAATTTAACTGTCTCGAGTGGATAAATATCGTATCACACTCGATGCAGTGGTAGAATCTATATATATCCACCTGAAAGAAATATATCGACTAAGGACGGAGTCCGATATTGTACTTATCTGGGTCGATATATTTTCATATCGACCTTATACAGAGGCTTCAATTGCTATATTAGTATAGTCAATACGCCATAAATAGACATTCAGTTGACTGGTTGTTACGATTGTGTCACAAACTATTGAGATTTTTAGACTTCTTTTTTTAATATGTCTTAAAAATAACGATACAATTTCACTTTTCTATCTGCCGTTTTCAGTATATCTTTAAAAATACAGTTTAACATGTGACTGTTTCTGAACGAATCACATACGTTTAATATACAAAATAATAATATTACACTTTATCCTGTCAATGGTCCCTTGGTCGATTTGATATCCGATTTTTATGCTGTCCTTCTTTTTTTTTTTTTTTTACTATTGATTGCATATATTTTACAGTACAAACAAAAGGTACTATACAGAAGCGTATTAGCGCCACACAATTTTTTTATATTTCTTCCTATGTTTGCGTTACAACGCGAATCTTTGCGAAATAACGCAAACCTGTGCGAAATAACGCAAACATTTGCGAAATAATATAATAAAAAACTATATTGAATTTACATTTTATGTTTCTTATACAATTTGGAAGCAGTGTTTTGTAAATATCGGCATTTGCATGTTCGCCTGCAAGTACAATTTGGTTGTGATTTAGTTAAGAGAAGGACCATAAAAACAAAAGGCCAAATCATTATAATAAATATACATAGGAATAAGGGAATACTTGTATCGCAATTGTACACAAGTTAAGAAAGACTTTTGAATCAGAAAATTATATAAATTTAACATGAAAATAGATATGGTATAGGAAAATTTGAATTGGAAGGCCAAGATTTTGAAAATTTTGATTTACGGGAAGTGGCAAAGTAGAGAAGAGCAAAAAGAATATTTCATACAATTGTGAAACTATAAAGTCAAATCAACAAAATGATCTTTCGGCTTCAAAATGAATTATTTTGAATAAGAAAAAAATGAATTTGATGTAAAATCGTTTGTTGAAATCTCAGAATATGATAAAGATTCCTTGATAAAAAATCATGGGGTTTTAAAATTCAATCTTATGAGGCATCTATTTAAGTGCCAGTCTTTGTAAGAATCTGGCAATTTAGAAAAATTTCAAAACATGACCGAAAAAAAGCCACCGACCTAACCAACCTATTTTGAAGGTACCCTCATCCTGAGTTAGAAATGGTAGGTCTTTCGTTTCTGCGTATCTGGTAATTCGAGAAATATCTAGTTATCTAGAATGATAGCAAATTACGGAGTTACCTCCCCTTAACTGTTAATTTCTAGTGCATTTCAATCAAATTGTATCTTGAATTACCAAAACATGGAGAGGAAACGAATGTTATATTCATGCACCATTATACATTCTAAACATAAATTAATGTAAAGCTGAGCTGGTTTTTTGTTTGTCATGTTTTCACCACTGCCTGATTCTTAGAGCACAATAATAAAAAATCTCCATCTTATACATTTATTTCAATAGGGTGGCTTGTTTGGATTTAACAAATCTTACACAATGCCCCAACCAGCGCTTACTTTGGAAGTATATTTAAATTCGGTACATAAACAAGGTTGAAATTATATTTTCTTCGGTTTAACTTCAATTTACTCAATTTTCTTTGTAATATATATATATATATATATATAAACAAGTCTAAATTGAAAACAACGTTCAAACCTATAATTGCGTTGGATAAAAACCGCAATTTTTATACGTGTGCATGTAAAACAAATTTCTTGGTAGAGTGGTCTAAATACAGCACAAACAACATTTTCCAAAAGACCAAAAAGTGAAAAAGTATATTTTAACAAAACGCATTTGACTAACAGGTCGAACAACTGATGTTCTTAAACCCTACTGACTACCATTGGCGATTGCCAAATAAATTGATCACCAGATGTAAAAAAAAAATGGATCTTACATATTTATTTAATACCAAACAGAAAACTACAAACTTGCGGAAAAGATGGTATACCGCAAACATGAGGTGCAAAAATTTGTACACCATATCCGGATTTCGACAATTAATGTCTCTTCAGTGATGTTAGGGATCGAAACGGTATTTGGAAGGCCATATAATTTATCTATACATGTGTTCTCCTGCTCATTAGTATACCATGATAACCATTTTACTTTGCAATAAGTACATAGGGTGGTAAATTTTAATACATGCAGACTCCTCCATTTATAACAGCTGCTTTCCTAGGAACTTAAATAAGAAATAAGATAAAACAAATGTTTGTGTTATTTCGCAAAGGTTTGCGTTACAACGCAAGCCTATGAAGAAATATAAAACGTTTCCTTTGTATTACTTAAGAATTTCAAAATTCAGTGGTTATTTCGATTTCAACTAGCTGATGCCATATCAATTTATACTGAATAGCTGCACCGATAAGATTATCTTTTATTTGAAAAAAAGAGTGAGAAGATCACAAAAGGGTGATGGTTGGAATCGAAAATTACAAGTCTAATAAAAGAAGGCAACACCGTGACATGAAACAATTTCAAATTATAATTCGTATGTTGTCGTCTGCGTTTTTTAATAATTGCCTATGAATTACCTCATAAATTACTGTACTAATAAACTACTAGTACATCGGAAATGAATCAAAATGATTTATAAAAACAGAACTTAATACATGCCATATAGTTTTTATACCTATATAAGGTTGTGGATTGGGGTATTCAGAAAAGATAATAATGTGCAAATATATAAAGAATAGAGAAAAATGAAAGAAAAAAAATAATAGAGAATAATGAGGTGCTAAAATATAAAGAATAGAGAATAATGAGCAAAAAATATAAAGAAAAGAGAAAAATGGGCTAAAAAATTAAAAATACAGAAATGACAACCACCCCCCCCCCCTTAACATTTCAGACCCTCCTACATAGTCAATACATTATTGATACTTAAAAGTTGTAATGCAAATATAGTGCTGTAAAATTAAGAGGTACTAAGGACTAAGGATGCGTAAAAAATTAATTTGCATTCGGTATTTTTTTTAGACCGATCAAACTGACCTGAAAAATTTAAGCCCATAACACAAGAGAGAATTTATTGCAGATACCGCAAAATGATTTTTACCCAACACAATCCAATTCACTTCAGTTCAGAAATATTAAACACCTACTACCTTGGACTGTACGGTAGTTGCACAGTACGGTAGTTGGACTGTCCAGTAGTTGCACAGTACGGTAGTTGGACTGTACGGTAGTTGGACTGTACAGTAGTTGGACAGTGCGGTAGTTGAACTGTACAGTAGTTGGACTGTACGGTAGTTGGACTGTACAGTAGTTGGACAGTACGGTAGTTGGACTGTACGGTAGTTGGACAGTACGGTAGTTGGACTGTACGGTAGTTGGACTGTACAGTAGTTGGACAGTACGGTAGCTGGACTGTACAGTGGTTTGGACAGTACGGTAGTTGCACTGTGCAGTAGTTGGACAGTATGATAGTTGGACTGTACAGTAGTTGGACAGTACGGTAGTTGGACTGTCCAGTAGTTGCACAGTACGGTAGTTGGACTGTCCAGTAGTTGCACAGTACGGTAGTTGGACTGTCCAGTAGTTGCACAGTACGGTAGTTGGACTGTCCAGTAGTTGCACAGTACGGTAGTTGGATTGTACGGTAGTTGGACTGTACAGTAGTTGGACAGTGCGGTAGTTGAACTGTACAGTAGTTGGACTGTACGGTAGTTGGACTGTACAGTAGTTGGACAGTACGGTAGTTGGACTGTACAGTAGTTGGACAGTACGGTAGTTTGACTGTACGGTAGTTGGACTGTACAGTAGTTGGACAGTACGGTAGTTGGATTGTAAAGTGGTTTGGACAGTACGGTAGTTGCACTGTGCAGTAGTTGGACAGTATGGTAGTTGGACTGTACAGTAGTTGGACAGTACGGTAGTTGGACTGTACAGTGGTTGGACAGTACGGTAGTTGGACTGTGCAGTAGTTGGACAGTATGGTAGTTGGACTGTACAGTAGTTGGACAGTACGGTAGTTGAACTGTGCAGGTTTTCTACTGTGTGTTTTAATTTTACGACATTTGGTTTAGATAGGGTGCTTTGTGTGTATGTTTAACTAGTAAAACCCCACCCCTATTATGTGTATGTGCAAAGTCATGCTATCTAGGCCATGTGTTCAATAACTTTTTGTTTGTCCTTTTGCCCATCTATTTTTTTTTTTTTGGAGGAGTCGAGTGTAATCTTGATATGTTCTGCTAAACTGTCCAAAATTTTGGACTTTTCCATATGCGCCCTTTTATTTTTGCTAAAAACATTTTCCTCATAAGTAAAAGGAAAATGTCAGAGCAGGCAGATAAATATACAAATTACACATTCTTTATGTACTCATTCATTTTATATCACAGAATGTGGTATTTGCATTGCTTTCAAAAGATCTTGTGCAAACGCTTTTGCCATTTGTCCCATTGCATTCACATATGGTCCGCCGGTGTTAATTCCACCAGGGCCAGTTCCTGGTGCTGGTTCCCAGAAGGCTGGTGATCCATTGTTTTGCCCTGCCATATGACCCGGTGGACTATTTCCTGCCATGTGGCTAGAGGGACCATTCCCTTGAGTTTGACTCGATGGACTATTTCCTGGCATGTGCCCCGCCGATGGATTATTTCCATTCGTATGGCCAGAGGGACCATTCCACGTTGATTGACCCAATGGACTATTTCCTGTTGTATGACCAGATTGGCCATTCCCTGCCATTTGTCCCGATGGACTATTTCCTGATACATGTCCAGGTGAGTTATTTCCTTGCATGTGTCCGGGTGAGCCATTTCCTATGTTTGAATTGGTCGGCCCTTGTTGAAACCAGTTAGGAATTTCAAGACCAGGCACAGGATTCGTATTTGAATTGCTAACAGAGTTTGACACGGGATTGGGTTGATTGAACCCAGGCACCAAATGTCGGTACTCTTGCGGGAGTGAATTTGATATCATGCTAACAACATTGTTCGGAATCATATTTTGTAGCTCCGCCATTCCACTCGATGGAGATCCAGACGTTGGGTGACCGATTTGTTGTGATCCACACTGTCTAGTAAGAACACCAATTAAAAAGGCTACTACTGACGAATACATTATTGGAATCTGTAAAACAAAACATAGCTACACGTAAGTTATTGAAGAATACAAAGTTTAAAGTTGGTTTATATCCGCCATGGCAGTTATAATGCATATCATTTAGTACGACAAAATATATATCTGTTCAATGTCATAGTCAACATGTAGTGGCTTTGCAAAACATAAAATGTGAATGAAGCACACAAAGAAGATAAACAAGAAGACGTTTCCCCTCGTATTTAGTTTACCCCTGGGCCATTTCCCCCGGATTTATTTTATCCCAGGGCCATTCTACAGAGTTTATTCCACACAGGGCCATTTTCCCCTGAATTTATTTCGCACCAGGGTCGTTTTCTAAAATTTCTTTAATCTTTGTTACAAATCACCGCATTATAGGTTCCAGTTTTATCAACATTTTGTGTATTTTCGAACATGTAACCATATAATAAACGCCTAAAGATAAATCAAAGCTGCAATTTTGACAGACTTTGCGCATTACTCCCAAAACTGTATAAGATAGACATCCTAACCCTAATCCAAAAGTTCGTAGTAAAGCTATATTTTTGTCCCTTGAAAACACATTAATTCGTTTTGGTTAGAGGCGTCATTCGAGGCAAGAATCTTCCAAAAACCCTGTAAAATAAGTAATATTGTCAGAGCGCTGAATTACATTTTTATTTAATTGAAATTTAAAAACCAATAATTTGTGTGATAAATATAATATAGACTCTTCAACATTCCTATACAATATAAATATGAAGATGTGGGATGAGTGCAAATGAGACAACTCTCCATCCAAGTCACAATTTATAAAAAGTTAACAATTATAGGTCAAAGTTCGGCCTTCAAGCAGGATTGAAGAACTTTGAGGTTTGGTGAAACAAAAACTGGGGAAATTTGATCTACCTCTTAAAGAATAAAAGAACTTAGAATTCAACTAACTAACTGGGTGGTTTTCAACGACCTTGACTGGTTGTTAATCCCTCGCACGGTCGGCTCCGTGCCCTAGTGCATTTGATGAGCATTTAAAATTTTTTTGGTAAAAGGCGGCCATTTGGGTTTTGCTGGATAGATTTAGTTTGAAGTTTAATGCCTTCACAACGGTTGTTTCCAGGGCCAGGTCGGTCAGCTGTGCAGACCGCCATGAAGTACTGGTCGATGAGTCTTGGACGTAGTATTAATGATGACAGCAAGCGTTATCAGGACCACTGTCTTGAGACGGTGAAATGACGGTCCATTATCCAACACCACGGATACAGGCCCTCGGACGTCAGACGGCATAACACTCCCCCATCCACAATGGGTTTAAACTTTTGGAGTGTATGCTAACGTGGACATTTACATCTAGACATTATTCAGACTGACGGTACAGCGTTGATTTGGTTTCTGTCATCAAAAGTAGTCTGTCGTTGCGCATCTATCAGTAGTCCAACATCGTAAATTGCGGGTAAAGTGGAGCTGACCAACGGCAAGCACGCCCGTTCAACTGTAATGACTGAGACGTGACTGACACGATGCTTAAAATTCAGTCAACGTTCAAAGAATGTATTGCAAAGGCTGATGTTAGCTTCAAAACATTCCGTCAGCAGTGTTGTAGAACAATTGAACATGACAGAAAATAAAATCTAAATCCTCGCTATTTTTATGCATTTATACGGATTTAACATGACATAGGCCACCTAACGTTTAATCAACTAACAAATCTATTTGTTTTAAACAGTGTTTAGCATCAAAGACATCTTCAACCTATTGGGTCAGTAATTAAGATAAGCCCCCCTTAAATATACTGTTGATGCCTACACTTTAGAGATGAATAAATCTTGATACAGAATAATTATATTGATATATATAAAGTAACTTCGATTATATAATATATTCAATACTGAAAAAAAAATCTGTGCGTATTTAAATTATTGGACAAACCTTTTAGTGCGAATTGCTTCCAAATTTTCAAAATTAGTCTGTAAATAAACAATGCATCTTGATGTCGTAATTGACTGTTGACAGGAGGAGCCATAAATAAACACATGACAAAGACAGGTTATATTAAGTACGATTATTATATTTATACCTCCCTGTATTTATAATATATAGATATACACAACCCAATAGAAAATTTTAATTGTCTAATTACATCCGATACCAACATCGAATTCTCAAAAAAACAAAAAAAAACGAAAAAATAGTCAATACCATATACCATTGATGATACCTCTAATGTGGAAAACATATACAACTAGGTACTACAGTACTACACACCCTGTTTTCTCAATCATTTTGGGGGAATTACACATAAAAACACACACAAACACACGCACACAAAACAATATTTTAATTTGCTTTCAAGAGATCCCTTCACACAAGACCTGAAGCTGTTAGTTAATTCTTTCTCTTGTTCCTAACGCTAAGGTTAATTAGGTTCAATATTTTCTGAAATTAAACGATGACATATGATGATACATTATAATTTATGGTGAAGTCATTTGTCATATTTATATACATTATATAACGATCATTTAAAAAGATGGATCAGAGGTGCTTTTAGTACATATTCTATTGTTTGTTCCATTCTATGAAGATATTACTTTTTACAAATTTTAACACGTATCTACGGTCAGAGACATATGTATTATATATCTCTACTACAGTTAATTCCGAAATTATTGCGTGCATTTATTATAATTCATTGTTGCAATTATTGAAGAATGGACAAAAATGCTAGATTAATTATTGCGATTTCAGGAAAATCTGCATTTTTTATATGTATCAGATAACAGAATGCGAGATCTTAATTTTGTGATACTCACCTAGTCGCATTATAACCTCGGAATTATTTCTGAATTTACAGTATATTGAATCTCTGATTGAAAAAAAAGACTTGTGTATTCTAGCTGGTCAGCTAGGGATGTTTTTTCCTAACTTATAATAAGTTTACATATGAGGTTTTGTAAAAAAATCTCATTATTGTCCCCGCCGCAAAGCGGTGCGGGGGCATAGAAATACCGGGCGTCCGTGCGTGCGTCCGGTCTTGTAAGTGCTCTCACGCGTACATGCTAGGCTTTTTTTTTATCAAAGATTTATATCAGTATTGTCTCGGAAGAGTTCGAAAATCATTGCCAATTAAGTAATTTTCAATGAGAGTATGTCTCAGGCCTGTGAATTGTAAATTATTTGAAAAATTTTATTGTAAATGGTCTGAAGCATACATATCTTGTCAGATTTGTAAATTTTTTTTCAATGGAAATCAAAGGGCATTTCATAACAAGAATATGTGGATCTTTGAGATCCGGGTCAAATATACAATGGAAACTGTAATCGTATATCAGGTTATATAGGTATCGGGTCTAACTTATTGATGTCTAGAAATCTTAAACAACCGACTAACTGCAAAACAGAATAGGGGAAAAATAAATACATTTTCAAAATTTTGCTCCAAATTCTGTCTCTATATATCAAAAAGAAGTTTTTGACAAAGTTCTTAAGAAAATTATGAATGTTTGACAAAGCTGCGATTACACGCAAATAGTAACAATAAGAATTAACTATTGTTACTTCAGAGACTGATTGCCGAAAAGTATTTGCGGGTTGTTGGATTAGGAACCTGTAAAAATTGCACCCATCTTTTGTATTTTGAAAAAAAAAAACAAACAAAAACAAGAGCTCACTCCGAAAAAAATGATAGGACAGTCAAGTAGTTGGTTGATGGTTGGCGCTTACTGGAACTTGAAGGAAGAAGAGGAGAGTATTGAGCTTGGAGAGACCTGGGACATTCTAAGATAATTTTTTTTCAACACAACCATCGGGTAAGATTTATAGTCGTTTATAATTCAATAAAGCCTTGACAGAGACTGGAATTCTTATCCTCGATTTTACCTGTGATTTGTCAATAAAAATAAGATGTGGTATATTTGCCAATGAGACAACCTTCCACAAGAGACCAAATGACATAGAAATCAACAACCATAGGTCACCGTACGGCCTTCGACAATGAGTAAAACCCATACCGCAAAGTTAGCTTAAAGGACCCCGAAATTACCAATGTAAAACAATTCAAACGAGAAAACTAACGGCCTGATTTATGAAAAAAAAAATGAACGAAAAAAAAAATGTGATATACAGCAACAAACGACAACCACTGAATTACAGGCACAAGTTTTTGAATTCATTGAACGTTGAACGGTCATCTTATCGTAGCATCTATAATGTCGATAAAGAGACCCTCTTTTGCCCAGATGCTGACTTTCTTATTCAAGTGCACTTTCATACATTTGGATTTGCATAGATGAATAGATATTAAACTTTAGCATGTTTAGTGTAAACTTAAATCAGTCAATTAAGTATGCAAAATAGGTCAAGTTGCATCTTTATCCTACGTTCGATAACATCTTGGAATTTGAGATATAAACCTTAAATGAGGTATCTATGAAACAATTATGTAGTTTTCTGACGTACTTGATTTCAATTGATACATAGTTCCCATAGATTAATTAAGAGCTTCATGGGGAACATTTAAATCAAATTTCATTTTAAATTAAATACATATAAATGGGGAATGTGTCCATGGGACACAGATGATGCCCCCGCTTGCATATAACGTTATAAAAGGACACAACTCAAAAACTGTAAAAGTGACGCTACCCAAATTTGTACTTGATCTGAGTTTTGTGGTAATAAGTATTTGGTATATTAAGTCTCATAACATTTGATTGAGGCAAACTAAAGTAAGAGAACGGAAACGAAAAATTCAGCAATGTTTCCATTTATAAAGGGGCATAACTCTAGAACGGTAAAAGTGACGCCGCCAAAATTCAAACTTGGTCTGTGTTTTGTGGTAATTAGCAGTGTGTATAAGTTTCATAACATTTGGTTATGGCAAACTAAAGTTAGAGAACGGAAACGAAAAATTCAGCATTTTTTCCATTTGTAAAGGGGCATAACTCTAGAACCGTAAAATTGACGCCACAAAAATTCAAACTTGATCTGTGTTTTGTGGTAATAAGCATTGTGTATAAGTTTCATAACATTTGGTTGAGGAAAGTTAGAGAACGGAAACCAATTTTGGGACGTACTTACGTACGGACGGACGTATACAGACGGACAAGGGTAAAACTTAATGCCACCTCCGCTACGGCGGGGGCATAAAAAAGGATGAGAATACAAAATCATAAGTTGAAGTAAGACATATAACACCAAGGCCAACAACAACAAAAATAATGGACAAATGACTCCAAAAACACTTCATCGAAAACTAAAGATAGAGCAACACGATATATGGTATATTTCATTTTGTCTTTTTTCAAACGAAGTCTCTTACAGACTTGTAACTTAGTTTGATAAAGGCCAACAAATTTATAGTTCTGTAAGATAATCTACATGGTATATTTGGATTCATTTTATATATTTTTTTAACTATCACTTGGGGCTCAATAGGTCCTCATATGGACAAAATGAGATGAGGGGTATTATTAGTGTCTTCCAGCAACCAAACAATACAGATATGCCAAAACAATACATTATAGATGTCAATAATATAATATGCTACTATAGTGACCCATGGACGAGAGTCCTTCATTTTTCATTATTTATTTTGCCCATTATTCTCTATTCTTTATTGTTTTGCATATTTTTCTCTGTTTATTACTTTTTCAATTATTTATTCTGCACTTTTGGTCCATTATTCTGCACTTTTGGTCCTTTATTCTGCACTTTTGGCCCATTATTCTACACTTTTGGTCCATTATTCTACACTTTTGGTATATTATTCTACACTTTTGGTCCATTACTCTACACTTTTGGTCCATTACTCTACACTTTAGGTCCATTATTCTGCACTTTTGGTTCATTATTCTGCACTTTTGGCCCATTATTCTGCACTTTGGCCCATTATTCTGCACTTTTGGTTCATTATTCTACACTTTTGGTCCATTATTCTACACTTTTGGTCCATTATTCTACACTTTTGGTATATTATTCTACACTTTTGGTCCATTATTCTACACTTTTGGTCCATTATTCTACACTTTAGGTCCATTATTCTGCACTTTTGGTCCATTATTCTGCACTTTTGGCCCATTGTTCTGCACTTTTGGTCCATTATTCTGCACTTTTGGTCCATTATTCTGCACTTTTGGTCCTTTATTCTGTACTTTTGGCCCATTATTCTGCACTTTAGGCCCATTATTCTGCACTTTTGGTCCATTATTCTACACTTTGGCCCATTATTCTACACTTTTGATCCATTATTCTACACTTTTGGTCCATTATTCTACACTTTTGGTCCATTATTCTACACTTTTGGTATATTATTCTACACTTTTGGTCCATTATTCTACACTTTTGGTCCATTATTCTACACTTTTAGTCCATTATTCTGCACTTTTAGTCCATTATTCTACACTTTTGGTCCATTATTCTACACTTTTGGTCCATTATTCTGCACTTTTGGTCCATTATTCTACACTTTTGGTCCATTATTCTGCACTTTTGGTCCATTATTCTCTATTCTGTAAAACCCTTCTAGACCCTTAGGAACCATAAACTACATTTAGTCTGTTTTACCTTCTCAATATTTATTAAATTGTCCAATCAATGAATGAGAAAATGCACTGACAGAGAATCTTCAATAGTATACAATATTAATGGGCATGGATGCAAGGAAACAAATGGAATTTTTGGAATACATGCAGTAATGAAATACTAGTTGAAGTTTTATTACTGAATTAAGATCTATGCTTTGTCTACAGTGCAGGAAGTCCTGTATGATCTTCTGCAGAGTCATCAAAACACTTCAAAACAAGAATGTGTCCATAGTACACAGATGCCCCACTCACACTATCATTTTCTATTTTCAGTGGACTGTGAAATTGGGATCAAAAGTCTAATTTGACATTAAAATTAGAAAGATCATATCATAGGGAATATGTGTACTAAGGTTTAAGTTGATTGGACTTCAACTTCATCAAAAACTACATTGACTAAAAACTAAACCTGAAGTGGGACAGACGGATGAACGGACGGACTGACGGACGAACAAACAGACTCACAGACCAAAAAACATAATACCCCTCTACTATCATAGGTGGGGCATAATAAAATTAAATAGTCATATTGGCTGCATCTCAACTCAATTGCAGCATTTAGTAGAGAGAGCAAAGACCTATTAGATCAAAGTTTGTAGGTGTTATTACATATCTTTTCTGTGTTTTTTTTACTGTAACTTGACTGTAAGTGTTATTCTCCACCTATTGCAGTTTATTATAAATTCTGACCAAATTGCAATTTGTTTTATCAAACCAAACTGTTCAACTAGTCATAAATTTTAAGGAACAGCTGTAGAATTACAATTTCATTGACAGATGTGGAATTCAAATCTTGAAGGATTGTAAGTTTAATCTTTTTTTATTACACTGTACTTGCTTCATACTAACATCCTTCCACTAGCTATGAGCTAAACTTGTTATACCAGTTGATCAGTTTGAAGAGATAAATTCAAACTGCAATTTTGGTAAAACATTTTAGAAATCGGTATTGTGAAAGGGCAAAGCCTTTCTGATTAGCACAGTAAAAGAAAAATTCTGAAAGCTTAGTTTGCACATTTTAATAGCAATTGAAAAATAACTACCTATCGCCTTTCGCATGACAATTACAATAAAAATATGCACAGAAATTCTTAGAATGATTTTCATAATATCAGTGAAGTAGAATTAAAGTCAAATATGATTGTAAGTATGGTTTATTTTATCACCTTGCACTTTCATGACTTGACTCTGGATTTCTACAGCATTTATTTAAAATTTTTGACCAGTTGAACAATTTGGTTTGATAAACAAATTGCAATTGGTCAGAATTTTGAATAAACTGCAATAGGTGGAGAGCAACGCTTACAGTCAAGTCACAGTTATATGTGGATGTTAAAAAATTAGCTCAATTTGTTTGTTGAGCCTAAAATGAGGTTTATACATGTGTGACTGGACTGTTTCCCTTAGTACATGAAGTAGATACTTAGTCAGCCGTAAGCAGTTGAGCTAGGGAAGTACTTCTTTAGCTAAGTCGGTTAAAGCGCTGCCGTGTAACACAGAGGCCCCTGGTTCAAGTCCCAGAGGAGACAAAGTGATTTTGTAAAAAGAATCATGCTCTCCATTTACATCTGGTGCCCAACTGAAAAACTAACAGTAGTTAGAGGATTTCTAGCTAGGGTATGTGTTGTTTGAGTCATAATAGTATGATGACTCTTGAAGTGGGGGGAGTGTGATGGGATTGCTTCCCTTAGTACATGTAGTAGATACTTAGTCCGCCATGAGGGGTTGAGCTAGGAAAATACTTCTTTAGCTCAGTCAGTTAAAGCACTGCCTTGTAACACAGAGGCCCCTGGTTTGAGTACCGGAGGAGACAATTTTATAAGAAGAATCATGCTCTCTAGTTATACATTTATCACATTAACTGATTTTATTTTGATTATAGTTGGACATCCTTTTCGTCTTACTTTAATTAAATTTTCTGACATTTAATCAGTAGGCTGCTACAGTTAAACAAAACAAAACTATGATAAATTAATTGTTTTTATTAATATATGAAAAAATACGATGATTATTTCTTATTTCGACAATAAAAACCATCAATGAGGTAAATAAAATTACGATTTTTAAGCATAACAAAAAATGCTGCCAACAAATAGAAAGTTACTTATGGGAGTCAAACTGATATGCATACATTATATTAAGGATATTCTTAAATATCAGTTGCAAGTCACATTGTGTCCAGTGGGTAATATTTTACAATATCTATGCACAGAAAACTCAATAAAGTAATTCTGATACTGTAAATTCAGAAATTATTGCGTGCACTTATTATTGCGATTTTTGAAAAATGAACAAAAATGCCAGATTAATTATTGTGATGTCAGGAATGCGAGTTCTTATTACTGTAAATTCAGAAATTATTGCGTGCATTTATTATTGCGATTTTGTCATTTTAGACTAAAATGCGGTTTTAATTTTTGCGATATTGAGAAAAGTCCTGTTTAATTCACATAAAAACTTTCAAAATGCGTGTTTAAATTATTGCGATTATAACCCTGTCGCATTTTTCGCAATAATAAAAACATCGCAATAATTTCTGAATTTACAGTATTGCGATACTCACTCAGTCGCATAATTCGCATTTATAAAAACCTCGCAATAATTTCTGAATTTACAGTAATTTTTTTGACTTTTTTATGCTTGGTTGTCCTGTCAGAAATAAGCATAAGTTCTGGTCTCACATTTTGACGTTGCTGATAAACATATCCTGACACCTCTGATAACTTCTCAATTATCGTCACAAAGCCCTGGAATTATGGAGCAACTTAGCATGATTGTATAGGAAGAGGGGAGTATGATAAGAAGCAATACTATTATTCAAAGTCGGTTCAGATTTTTGTTTACTGCAAAGGTAAAAAAAAACATTTGTTCAAATTAATTATTTGGGGCAAGTCAAATAGATGTTACCAATAAATCAGAGATTTCTTTTCAATGAAAGTGCATTGTTAGCTGTAAATTAGTAAATTATTTCCTGTAAGGCATTATTATCCTTGTAATTCTCAAAAAATAAGGCCATGAATTTTTCACTTCGTTAAAACTAAGAAGGGTGGTGCTTTACTGATATAAACTGACAGTAAACAATAAAATATTTGAAGTAAGTCCATTTTGTCATGCCAAAGTTTTTTTTTATAGTTTCCTATACAGTATGAGTTTTGCTCATTGTTAGAGGACTATAGCTGTTTACATTCTCTTACTTAGGTCTTGGGTTGATATTTGTTTCACTGGCCATCATACCAAATCTCCTTTTCCCCCCATATTCTAATGACGTTCAATTCTCCATAAAATTATCTCTTCTAGAACAGGGCTTAATTTTATTGCGATAGAACAATTAAAAACAATAAACCTTACTTCAATAAATGAATATCAATTTTAAACTAAGCACTTTATTATCTTGACATAATTTACTCAGTTTATGAAGATGAATAGAACATGAATCAGGAAAACTATTTATGTAATTCACATGTAAGACTAGTATGTTAATTGATTGTTAATTTATTAAGAGATAACTGTATAGTATTTTAAATTGGGCCTAAGTAAAATGTAGGTTTTACTGTAGGAAATAGAGTTTACCTATAAATGAGGCACCACAGAGCTAGGTAAACAGGTATTTTTTTTACCTTGACCAAGCTTAAAATACATAAGAATCATCTCAATTCTAATGCAATTAAGACATTCCATTTGTCATTATTTTGTTGTAAAAATTAGATAGATAGAAAATTTCACGAAACTTTGTTCTTGTCTATGACCATTTACAGTCCGACTTGATAGGTATAATTCTGGTGCCAATTGGAAACGCTGGAAGGTTTTGGAATTGAAGTACACATCCGAATGAAGGTGATTTTAAGGTGGGAAATTATTGTTTTGATTATTATGTTTATCAGTGAAGAAATAGCATACCAATAAATTCCTAAATTCAAAATGGCTGCTTCTCATTGTTACAGATGGTTAACCATGGAATTTACAACAGCAAAAGATATGATGTTGTCCAATCAAAATAGTCATTACAAACCAATTGCATTATAATCTAGATTTATATTAACTTAAGTACCAACAAGAAGTTCCAGTTGCATATATACCTTTTTATCAACAATTAATTGTTTCTTTGTCTTGATAAATTTTTGAGAGCTTTTTCCATTGATGATTTCTCATATAATTCGTTTCTAATAGTTATACAATGTATTGAGTAAAAGTGTTTATAAAAATTGGTTATGAAAAAAAACCTTTTAAAAGATGAATATTCATAACAATAACATAACAAAAACAACCTAAATCTATTACAGTAGAAAAAGAACTGTTAAATGATATAGAAATCCGAACATCCAAAAATATCCCTTTTACCATTTTGTAAACATGTTTTTTTGACATAATATACAATATTGTGATATGTACTGTGATAGTAAAAACATAGATTGGACGGTATCTCATTAACACATATATATATGTCTTGTATGAACAATAAAAAGAAAATAATATACTGGACGGTTTCTCATATACTGACAATACAAAAATGATTGGATGGACATTTAAATGTATGCATAGATCTTCTAGCTTCCTTTGGTCTTGCATCTTTATATGTGACACTTTTCGTTTCGTTTACTCCAAGGTCATCACATGTCAGTCACATGATATTACATCATGTGACTCATTATTTATTATGTGCAATATTATCCTATTTTTCTGAATAAATCATCCTTTCCCTTGTAACATTCTGACAAGTTTGCTACAGTGTGAATACACAACACTACTTGATCCATTGTTGCTATGGAAACTGTTTATCAACAAACTTTGTGTCTTAGAAGACCGTGACAATGGTCTTGGTGTTGTGGCAACTGATATGGCGTTTAGTTTATCTACAGCCTTCTGATTCATCATTTCCTGAAAGATAAATATCAGTAAATGATTGTTTAATCCTTGTTAGAATACAAAATAACCAGGATGTTGTTGTCTGCTTATAGTTTGGACTTAGAATAACATCCAGTAATCATGGTTTCAAAAAAACTTTGAGCCAGTCTGACATTTTTTTTTGCCTAACCTGTTTTTAAATTCTATAAGTCATTGAAGCCAATCAGGGTATCCATTGGGGAATGAAGGGCCATGAATTTGGTCAGAACGCCGGGATTAAAATAACTGTACTATTGATATGGATTCTGTGAACAGTAACTATTATCTTGATAGGTATTTAGTTAACTGACGTCTGTCAGTGCATCGTTTGGAACATCAGCAGACTTACATTTGACCATATCTTTTGTTAATACAATAAAACTCTGATGAGATACTTTACTTTTGTTTTAAATAAACAGTTAACACAGAGATATGTCTCGCCTATTTGTTGTTTTGATAATGCAAATGTTGAAATTAAAATAGCAATACTTTATTAATATGTAAGTTATGCAAATATTCAAAGTCAATGAACCATGACTGAAGGTACAGGGCTAAACAATCTCCATGGAAATGAGATGTGCCAATACTAATACAACTGTATACTAAATACCACTGAAATCTCATAAGTTGTTCCCTTTAAACAAATACAAACATTAACTTGTAAACTATGTAAAAGTTTCAAAGTCAATGAACCATAATGAGAGGGTGGGGTTATATAATCTCCATGGAAATGAAACTTGCAAATGCCAAAACATTTGCATACCAAATATCATTGACTTAACAGTAATGGTTCATCTTAAACTGACCTAATCACAAACTAATACATGTAAATGAAGCAAAAGTTTAAAAGTCAATATACCATGACTGAGGGGGCGGGGACAAATAATCTCTGTGGTAATGAGATGTGCCAATGCTAATACAACTGCATACCAAATATCACCGACCTACCACTAGTGGTTCACCATAAACTAGACCTTATCACAAACTAATACATTGTTGCCGACCCTGGAAACAGCATACCTATGTCTCGCTTTTCGACACCGTCAAGGCGAGATTAAAAGCATGTTATCTTATACTGGATGTTGACTTGACAGCGATAAAACATATAAGAAAGACAGACTACGTGAAATCCCTGTACATTTTTGTTGAGCATTCTCCATGTATCGATATGCTTTACAAGTGTTTTGTTACCGATATCAGAACGCTTTACATGTGTTTTGTTACCGATATCAGAACGCTTTACAAGTGTTTTGTTACCAATATCAGAACCCTTTACATGTCATGTGTTTTGTTTCTGATATCAGTTTAAGTAGTTCTTTCTTCCAGTAAATAATTGAGACAAACATAAGATAGCATTTTTCTCTCTCATTTTAAAAGCTTTCCAATTCATAATTAAATTTCACATCTGTGTGAACATCACACTTGTACTTATATAAACAATGTGGTTCTGGTTTTTTTAGGCTCAAAAACCTGCTTAATTTATTGTTTTAATATTGCTTTGACAAACTAAATAATTTAAATCATTTAAACATGAGAAACAACTTAAAAACGATTGACCTATGTTAGGTAAAAAAGTATTAACAAAAATACCAAGGTAAATTCAAAAAGATGGAACGAATGGAAAACAACTGTCATATTCCTGACTCGGTACAGGCATTTTCCAAAGAAAGTAGCGGGTTTAACCTGCTTATTAGTATAATAAATAGTTAAATATCAGCTGTCAGACAACCGATCTACCTTGATAGTAACAATTAATTTAATGAGGCTTTTTTTTGTTAGGGCATATTTTGTACAATAATTAATATAATATCTTCCGGTATTATTTTTATTTGTCAATGTGTTGGTTGCAAATATTCTGAATGGACATATAATGAAATCTGTAGATTACATTTATAAACCTGAAAATTAAATTATTGAAAAGGCAAACCAATAGAAATAATGTAAAAGAATTATACAATAAATATTGAAGTTTTAAATGGTTGAATAACACCTAGTTCCTAACACATGGTAGAGAACAGAAAAATGCTACAATTTTTTAAATCCCTCTGACTTTTTAAACTTTTAGTTACGCACATACTTTTAGCATAGATATTAACTTTTTTCATGCATGCCAAAGAAAAGTCAAATACTGACTTATGTTCAGAAATGTCATAAGATTTGATCAATATTACCTTTTTAAGTTCATCTTGTTGAGACAAGGTACGTAAAGCGAGTATGGCATTAACTTGTACACCCTGATTCTGATCATGACATGCAAGATCTAATAACCTAAAATAAACAAGAAAACCATAGCATTAACTTGTACACCCTGATTCTGATCATGACATGTAAGATCTAATAACCTAAAATAAACAAGAAAACCATAGCATTAACTTGTACACCCTGATTCTGATCATGACATGTAAGATCTAATAACCTAAAATAAACAAGAAAACCATAGCATTAACTTGTACACCCTGATCCTGGTCATGCCAGGCAAGATCTAATAACCTTAAATAAACAAGAAAATAATGGCATATGGTTATACCTACATCATTTGGTGTGTTGTGAATAGCTGTATTATTGGCAATCATATCACATCTTATTTTTATATAAAAGTATGTAAACACAAATTGGTGCTCAGCGGGCAAAACTGAAATGACAAAAATTGTGTGAAAATATTTCTAGATCCTTGGTGTATAAAATGTTTAACTATGTGTATCTAGCATGTATAACTATGTGTATCTAATGTGTATAACTATGTGTATCTAATATGTACAACTATGTGTATCTTATATGTATAACTATGTGTATCTAATATGTATAACTATGTGTATCAAATGTGTATAATTGTGTATCTAATATGTATAACTATGTGTATCTTATATGTATAACTATGTGTATCTAATATGTATAACTATGTGTATCTAATATGTATAACTATGTGTATCGAATGTGTATAATTGTTTATCTAATATGTATAACTATGTGTATCGAATGTGTATAATTGTTTATCTAATATGTATAACTATGTGTATCTTATATGTACAGTACATTCCGGTTATTTGCATAGCCTATTTGTCAGACGAAAATATGCAATTAAGCGGAGTATGCTTATATCCGAAATGCCAAATTACGGAGTCAAACAACATCGATAGTGCAGATCAGTAAAGGAAATCCCTGAAGAAAGATGAACGTCCATAATCCACTTACAACATATCGAATGCTTATTTATTCTAATAAAAGTTATTTGTCTAATGTCATACATGTTATTTCATTGTGTATTCTTTCAATAACGTTTATAAACACATTTTGTTTTAGTTTATTTACGTACCAACTTTTCCTTTACCTGAGATACGAAAATAAAATTTTTCTAAAAATAGATTTGTTTCTATGACCCGGATGTACATTGTTACGGTCTGATTAAAATAAACTGTTTAACAATACTACACAGTTTATAATCATTTTTAACCATAAATGTGTAATGAACTGCCTTTGATATGCAGTATTTACCGATTGCACAGTGATGTAACACTGTTACTTTAACCTCTTTAGTTTCGTATATGCAAAGCAGTTAACAGGTAATGGGGCCCTACACGTGTTATTTGCTGGACATGAGTGTTGAAAGTGAGAAAATATAATAATTAGAAGTTAATGTTCTTTTCAAAAAATATTAAAAATAAAAGATTGATGTATAAAATTCTTCAACCAAATATAAATGCCCTATACAATTTAACATAAGTGTAGATCACCCCAAGCCGAATTACGAGATTACACATTGGATAATGATCGATAATTAGCAGGTGTTATTGTTTTAAAAATTCACCCAAAATGTAATCTATGAACAATGTTTGAAATCCAATCAATAATTAACACCTTTTGAGATAGAATGGTTGTGTTTTTACAACAATCAGCTGTTTGACATTTTTATGACCTTGAGGCTTAAAATAGAACATGGGAAACTTTACCTGTGTACACATCGAGGCTTATTTTACAATCATATAAACACGAAAGAAACTGTTTTAAAACTTTATTTAAATAACACAGAATAATAACGAAAATTATGATGCATTCAAGAAAAATATACTTACCAAATTGCCGTTTCCGGTCAAAAATCTCTTCAGTTTTAACTAAGCATATCTAGCTGGCGATTATTTTCTATGCAATTAACCGAAATGCCACTTGTAAGGCTATGCATATAACCGGACAATTTAACATTAGATGAATGGGAAATGGTTTTGTGCAGGAGAAAAGTATGCAATTAACCGAATTATGCTATTAAGCGGTATGCAATTAAGTGGAGTCGACTGTATAACTATGTGTATCTAATATGTATTATTACATGCATCTAATGTGTATAACTATGTGTATCTTATATGTATAACTATGTGTATCTAATGTGTATAACTATGTGTATCTAATATGTATAACTATATGTATCTAATGTGTATAACTATGTGTATCTAATATGTATAACTATGTGTATCTTATATGTATAACTATGTGTATCTAATGAGTATAAATATCTGTATTAAAATGGATATCTTACCTTGGAATAATTTTTTGTTTCTTTAGTTCTAAACATAAGACATTTGAGTGTGCACCTAAATTACCACAAGCACCTGTAAAACAAAGATATGGTGAACATATGAAGTTGATCAATATTTCTTAATATATCTTTGATGTCAAAATCATAAATATCATATTAATGTGAACTATTAAAAGAAACAAAATTTTAAGTTACATAGCTGTATAAAAATTACATTAGAAAATAAATTTACACCTCGACACCAAAATCTAGATTTATGCTACAATTAAAACTAAAGTAAATTCAACATGGTCATGAAGGGAAAGAATCATCTGTATTGTATTTTAAAGGAATAACAGATTGAATGGTAACTTCTTTAAACTATCAACACCAATACAATGATTATAACCTATATGTTAATCTTTTTACAGTTTTTAAGGTAGAAAAACTTTCTGAAGCATCAAGAAAAAAAAAACCCATAATATATTGTTTTTGTTTTGTGACAGCACCATGAACATACATTCTATACCTTTTTCTTATTTTGTATCTTTAATAAAATTAGGTATATAGTGTAAAATTGAGAATGGAAACAGGGAATGTATCAAAGAGACAACAACCCGACCAAAGACCAGAAAACAGCCCAAGGCCACCAATGGGTCTTCAACACAGCGAGAACATCCAGCACCTGGAGGTGGGCTTCGGCTGGCCCCAAAACAAAAATGTATGCTACTTCAGCGAAAATGGATGTCACACTTGATTTTGCTATTTCCTGAAAGAAAAGTGCTGTAAACAGCTTAACATTCACGATATCTGATTCCATTATATCTGCTAGTTACATTCTTTCTCTCATTTTGTATTGTGAAGGTCGGTGGTTCTCTCTTGATTCCTCACTCAATAAAAACACACACAATACATGCCACAACATAGCTAACAGTACTAAAAGTGGCATAAAAACACCATCAGTCAAGCAATCAATCATTTTGTGTTGTTGTGTTGCTGTCTATTTGACAAATACCCCATATTACCTTCTATTTATAAATAACATTTACTGTTGTTTTCTTTCATTGTTTTTTTTTATATAATGGTAAGCATTGAAGTTTTGATATACATTTATAGATATTATAAAAAAACAAAATCAGTATAATAAAACCTGTCTTAACTGAACCCTGACTAAACCACACTTGCTCCAAAGTCCTTAAATAACAAGAGCACCAGTGGTGATGGGGTTATGTTTAAACAGCTTTCAATGTACATTGTAAAATAAGAATTTTTACAATACAACTTTATTACTTACTTGCAGCATTTGCTTTAGTTTTAGACACAGGATCCCTCAGAAGTTCCACTAACAATGGTATACAAGGTTTTAGCTTTACATAAAGGTCTCCATTGTGATAGGCTGCATTACCTATGGCATAGCTTGAACCCTAGAAGAAAGTGTTAAAACACAATTAAAAAGTTTACATGACCAGAATTAAATCTGTTATCTAGAGGGGTTTGTTGATTGTGTCAGGTCATAATTTACACATGCAAAATAGCTTAAGTTCTGATCAGCCTTGAAAGTCAGACATATGAACTTTTCTTATCTGGCTCCAGGTCAAGAACCAGGCCTGTTATGCTTAAACCATCAAAATAGTTTACTTTTTATAATTCATCATAACTTTTCATTCAATATTCCTTCACAAATAATTCAGTCAATTTTTAATTTTTTTTTAATTCATAAAGCTGTGTTACTAGTAAATCCCTTGATGAAATTATACTGATGTACTGGGTACATTTTGTTAAATTATAATGAGTTATAACTACTATACCTTCCTAACATTTGGATCTTCATCCTTTAAACCAGCTATTAAACCATTCAATAACTTTTCCCTGTTTAAAAAAAGAAGAAAACTGTACAAAAAGTATTTTCTAAAGCCTAAAGAATTATTTGGAATAGATAATGTATATAGCCCTGTTGTGTTCTTACCTTTATATGTTAACATTATGCATACAATTATAGAGTTTCTACCTGTTTATGTGTACACTGTATATGTGACTATATAGATTTTCTACTTTTGTGTACAATGTAGATTTGACTGTAATGTTTTTCCTACCTTTGTTTGAGTACACCATACATGTGACTGTTATGTTACCTATCTTTGTGTACACAATACATGCGAATGTTACCGGTATATTACCTATCTTTGAGTACACCATACATGTGACTGTTATGTTACCTATCTTTGTTTGAGTACACAATACATGTGACTGTTACCGCTATGTTACCTATCTTTGTTTGAGTACACAATACATGCGATTGTATCTGGTATGTTACCTATCTTTGAGTACACAATACATGTGACTGTTACTGGTATGTTACCTATCTATGAGTATACAATACATGTGACTGTTACCAGTATGTTACCTATCTTTGAGTACACCATACATGTGACTGTTATGTTACCTATCTTTGTCTGAGTACACAATACATGTGACTGTTACCGGTATGTTACCTATCATTGTTTGAATACACAATACATGTGTCTGTTGTGTTTCCTACCTTTGTTTCAGTACACCATACATATGACTATTGTGTTTCATAAGATTCCCCACCAGACTGCAGGCTCTTGATCTGACTGTTGCTGAGTTATGTTTGATCAACTTTAACAGTGGATCATAATCTCCTACAAATAAGTAAAATCTTTTAAAATACAGTAATTTTGATGAATATTCATAAAATTATTCAAATAACCATATGACTTTTGTTGATTCAATTTAATTTTTCATTTGTTGATTGAAAACAAACATATCTTTTTTTTTTCATCATAAAAACATGACAATAATAAATATAATTTTTTTACAAACTTGATTTACAAAATATAATTTTATGTTTACACAACTGTTATTGTTACTTTTAAAATCTTTTCTCATTTAATCATTCTTTTTAATCCTTACTTTTATTAACATGCTGACACATATAATACACCTAGAACCTTATGTGCTTCAGAGGACACTCTTTATGTACCTCTCTCGATCTTACCTTTGCTGCCATGAAACACAGACTTGACAAATGGTGCATGCTGGGGAGACATTCTGACAAGATGGCTACAGATAGACACTACATCACTGACAACAGTTGAGGATGTTGACTGTGTACACTGGGACAACAGCGATACAGTCTGCCAAAAAAAAAAGGACAATCAATTATTGTAACATATGATCAAGTTTATTCAATACACTGGGACAACAGCGATAAAGTCTGCAAGACAGGGTCATTTTCTATAACTGTTTGTTTAATTCCACTACAGGATGTATAAGAAATTGGGGTTGACAGGCACTTTGTTTTTTCCAAACATATATAATATCTTAAATGATTGTTTCTTTGTCTTCTCAAAGACAAAAATACGATAGAAAGCATGTGTCATGCTTCCATCCTTGTTTTTATGCTGTTTAATAAGACCATTTGGAAAAAAAACTAAATTATGTGATCAGAAAACAAGGGAGCAGAAATTTTGAGTGAATTTTGCCAGGATTAATAAGATTAGCTAAGTAACAAAATATGTAAAAAAAACTTGCAAATTTATAACCAACTGCAGTTTCCAAATTCTTCATTTACTCTCCTTGACAAAGTATAGCTTCTTTTAATCATAAATAAACTCAAAATTTAAAGTCTCCCTGCGTTTGAAAATATTATTTATTTGATGAATAAAAATTCATGAATATCTTCATATTTTGGAAAATATTGCTTAGAAACAGGACATCTTCATATTAAACATCAGTAATTTGTGAAAAATAATTCACTAGCAAATTTATTTTAATTTTTTCATGTATAAATTAAAAAAAATAAGTGAAAGAAAGATTATTCTCCTGAAGTTATTTTTCATTCCTCCATGTTCTCTGAATTTGATCAAAACCATAACACATGCATAAAGAATTATTTTCACAAAATGTTATGAATATTTTTTCAATTAGAAATTAGTTAGTTATTTTATTACCAATATCAATCTACATTTAGAAAGTACACTTGACCTCTTACCTTCTGCTCTTTGACACATTTACAAAACTGTTTGAGGAATTGCTGACTGCCGAGAACCAGTCGTAACATCAGATTGATAGGGATTTCTAGTTGCTCATTCTTCAGATACTTTGTACAGCAAAATATAAGTCTTGGGAGGAGACTGGCATTAAATAAACACCTATATAATAAAACAAAATATTTATATAATGTCAATGAATAAAGGAATCCAAAATTAAAATTATCTACACAAAATGCAATATAATTTTCGAATATATATAACTTAGTATTGATAATCACATCTTCTATATTCTCAATTGAATTTATGCAGAAATTGTCCACCAAATTTAGAAGAGAGTTGAGAACTTGTCCTATGGCGTTGATGCTTTTCCATAGTCGAAGTCTGTATGAAGACTCTTGGTGTCTATTTGTGTTTAACTTATGTAGTTGGATTACTGTCTCTTTAAAGTTCATACCACATCATTCATGTAAATTTTCAATATTAGGCCCAGTAAAAAAACAAACTTTCACATGGTAAGAAGTATCTGTACAGCTTTCCAGTTATATAAACAATATGCTTTTGCCTTTCAAAATTTTGTTTTGTTTTACATTTATTTCTTCCTTCAATTAACACTAACTTTTAGAAATTCAATACTTATTTAAAGTCAAATTCTTCAATCAAAAATTTATGCTTTCCAGTACTTAAATACTTCTCAAATAAGGTATATAAAAAGGATTAAAAATTTACTGTTGGACTTGATGAAGCAGCTCCTCTGCAATATCTACAGCAAATGGAAAACAACATAACTGTGTGACCTCTAGTATCATGTCAGCTGTCAACTGGGGACCGTCACAGTGAAACCTGTAATAATATATACATGTGTAAAACATATGTGTGACCTCTAGTATCATGTCAGCTGTCAACTGGGGACCGTCACAGTGAAACCTGTAATAATATATACATGTGTAAAACATATGTGTGACCTCTAGTATCATGTCAGCTGTCAACTGGGGACCGTCACAGTGAAACCTGTAATAATATATACATGTGTAAAACATATGTGTGACCTCTAGTATCATGTCAGCTGTCAACTGGGGACCGTCACAGTGAAACCTGTAATAATATATACATGTGTAAAACATATGTGTGACCTCTAGTATCATGTCAGCTGTCAACTGGGGACCGTCACAGTGAAACCTGTAATAAAATATACATGTGTAAAACATATGTGTGACCTCTAGTATCATGTCAGCTGTCAACTGGGGACCGTCACAGTGAAACCTGTAATAATATATACATGTGTAAAACAAATGTGTGACCTCTAGTATCATGTCAGCTGTCAACTGGGGACCGTCACAGTGAAACCTGTAATAAAATATACATGTGTAAAACATATGTGTGACCTCTAGTATCATGTCAGCTGTCAACTGGGGACCGTCACAGTGAAACCTGTAATAATATATACATGTGTAAAACATATGTGTGACCTCTAGTATCATGTCAGCTGTCAACTGGGGACCGTCACAGTGAAACCTGTAATAATATATACATGTGTAAAACATATGTGTGACCTCTAGTATCATGTCAGCTGTCAACTGGGGACCTTCACAGTGAAACCTGTAATAATATATACATGTGTAAAACATATGTGTGACCTCTAGTATCATGTCAGCTGTCAACTGGGGACCGTCACAGTGAAACCTGTAATAAAATATACATGTGACCTCTAGTATCATGTCAGCTGTCAACTGGGGACCGTCACAGTGAAACCTGTAATAAAATATACATGTGTAAAACATATGTGTGACCTCTAGTATCATGTCAGCTGTCAACTGGGGACCGTCACAGTGAAACCTGTAATAATATATACATGTGTAAAACATATGTGTGACCTCTGTTATCATGTCAGCAGTCATGTGGGGACCGTCACAGTGAAACCTGTAATAATATATACATGTGTAAAACATATGTGTGACCTCTGTTATCATGTCAGCAGTCATGTGGGGACCGTCACAGTGAAACCTGTAATAATATATACATGTGTAAAACATATGTGTGACCTCTAGTATCATGTCAGCTGTCAACTGGGGACCGTCACAGTGAAACCTGTAATAAAATCTACATGTGTAAAACATATGTGTGACCTCTAGTATCATGTCAGCTGTCAACTGGGGACCGTCACAGTGAAACCTGTAATAAAATATACATGTGTAAAACAAATGTGTGACCTCTAGTATCATGTCAGCTGTCAACTGGGGGCCGTCACAGTGAAACCTGTAATAATATATACATGTGTAAAACATATGTGTGACCTCTAGTATCATGTCAGCTGTCAACTGGGGACCGTCACAGTGAAACCTGTAATAAAATATACATGTGTAAAACATATGTGTGACCTCTGGTATCATGTCAGCTGTCAACTGGGGACCGTCACAGTGAAACCTGTAATAATATATACATGTGTAAAACATATGTGTGACCTCTGGTATCATGTCAGCTGTCAACTGGGGACCGTCACAGTGAAACCTGTAATAATATATACATATATTTATTCATATACAAGATTTAAAGGGTTTTGTCAAAATAAAACACAGTAAAATGCAAACTTTCATTAACCCTTCTTTATTTAGCTTTTCTGAAGTCATAATGAGCCAAATTCAACCAAAATAAAGAAATTCAAGTGATAAAATCTACTTTGCTTCAATTATTTGACAGTTCTAAACTGAATTGACCACTCATTAATTTGACAGAATGAGCATCTGGGATGCTACCACAAGTAACTTTAACAGGTACCCCATGTGGAGCAAGAAATTTTCCTGGTAAGGCTCAGTTTGTGATATTCTATGTTCAGTTTTCTGTGTTCTTCAAAGGAATTTTTGTTTTATTTTGTTTGTTGTTTTTTTGTTCAGTATATAATCAGTCACCTCTTTTGTTTTAAAATGTGAATTTTTAATAAGTACATGTGGAGCAGGACCTGCTTACCTTTCCAGAGCACCTGAGATCATCCCCGGTTTTTGGTGGGGTTCCGTGTTGCAACAAGCATTATATTAAATCAATCCATTTTCATTTTAGGCACAATTCATATAGCACTACACTAGGTTAACTCGTATAGTTTTCTATGTTGTGTTTTGTATACTGTCTTTAGGTCTTTTTCTGATTTTGCCATGGCGTTTCAAGTTTATTTTCCACTTATGAGTTTGAATTTCCCATTGGTATCTTCTCTCTTTTGTTACTTCACTTATAATCAACATTACAAATCTACATAAACTTACCCATTATAGACAGATGACAAGAAGTCTTTATGTAACAGATGAACTATTGTTAACAGTATGATACTATCAGGGACAGCAAGGTTAGGTATACATTGATTAGTTTCCTGTAAAATTAAATATAAAACAGACTCACATTAATATTGACATTAGAAGCTGAAACTATAGAAGTTATTTTGTTTAATTGTAATGCGATGATAATTGACAAATTTTGGTGTTTAACTTCCAGTGGTGTTTATTACTGTGGACATGCCTATCAAGACAAGAAATTGTTAATGAAATATAAATAGGAACCCTGCAATTTACTAAATGGACACACTAAGCAGGATTTTTAGCATGCATATTCACAATGTAGCAGTAGGCAGGATAATATGTCACCCTATCTGTACACATTAATTTACTTCAAGCTGACCAGTCATTGCACTTACTACTAAAATCTGTGTGCTAGGCTGAGAAAAGCAAATACCACTTTTCAAGTCCAGTCTTTGGTTTGACACAGGCAGGAATCAAACCCATGACCTCCTGCACTGGAGGTAAAGATACTTCTATAAGACCAACGAGACAGTTATCAGATGTAATGTTTAAATCTATAAGTATCTATTGTTCCTATATATATTGATGGTAAGTTGATTATGTTCAATCCCTAAAGAAACTTGAAGTTTTATTTATTGGACCAATTTTCTTCCATTCCATCTCCTTTTAATTTCATGTTCATTTTATATCATCCATTGCCGGTTTAACACTTAGACATAGCCTTTTTTCCTCTCCTTCAGCAAAAAAGCACCAACATTTAATCAACTCATCCCTTTTTCATTTATCTTAGCATTATAATTTATAGTACCAACCTTAGTAAATACAGTAACAGCCATCTGAAGAACAGCCATCAGACCTTGTGGTGAGACAAGTGTCCAATCTGGAGGATTAAATCCCACTACATTCTCCCCATCTTGATCTATATCATGTATTGGGGTGTCTGTCTCTAGATTGATGACCTGTAAGGCCTGGGCCACACGGTGCCATAATGTACCCCAAATACCAGTCTCTATGTACATCTGAGCTACAGGACCTTCAGTCTGAAGTATAGATTTTTTATTAAAGAAAAAAAATTAATATTTTTTCATTTGTGTGAAAAGATAAAAAACCAACATCTTCCTTTATTTGTTGTATAGATCAGAACTTTACTCATCAGTAGCAAGAATAAATATGTTTTTCTATTTTTCTGCTGTTTCTAAATAGACGGAAACAATTTTTTATCATTATAATTTATACATGTATGAGCTCATTTGGCTGTCAAGAATTCACTTTATAATTAAAAAGTATTAAAGTGATGAATTGCAAATACAGAGTTTATTTGTACTAGCTTTAGCAAAAGACATCTCTTTTACCTATTTTCATTCATAACATGATATTTTATGTTTGCCACCATTTTAGAATTCAATTTATACACCAATGTATTTTGGTGTTTTTTTTAAACTGTTGGATTGCTTGTGGTCTCAGTTATGTACACAAAGCCTTTTTTTCAAAAGTGAATATTGTATATTATATGTGTGCATTCTGAGGATTGTTACACTTACAGGCATGATACATTTTGTTAACCTTTTGACCTTTTTATGTTTATGTTGTTAGATTGCTATTAAATTGATATATACCTCAAATCTCATTTTATTTGTATTGTTTTTTTCATCCTATCGAGCATCTATAGAAAGATCTATTTTCAACCAATCATATGAAGTTAAAAGTCAAAAATAAAATAGATAAGATAAACAAATTGCTGCAAAAGTGGCTAAAAAGGGATGAATGCAAAATAAGTTGATTTACAGTAGTACATTTATAGTTACTTTACACATATAAAAGACATACAAAGATCAAATTTGTACACACACCTTATGACAGACAGTCATAGCATTGATTACAGTAAGATCTACCTTACCTGTGCCAACATTTCACACAGTAACAATAGTAGTCCATCTAATACTCCATAATCAAATGGACACCTGACACATATCTGAAAAATATAAAGTTTGACAACAAAAACCTTACAGTTTTCGAAACAGTGATTTCCAAAAATATTGCTATATGAAAGTTTTCTATATACAAAAGCTAGTCTGATTGATCATTTTCACAAAAGCCAGGCAAAATATTCTAAAGCTAAAATTAAAAAAAAAAAAGAAAACCACTTCAAAAGCAACCAAACATACAGAAAAGTGCAGTTCCATTAACATTTTAAAACATAAAATAGAAAGAAAAAAAAAAAAAATTTAAATTTTTTATATTTTCCACAAGGACTTTTACTGATTTAAGAAACAATATACTAAAGTGAGTTTTCTATAAAAGATGTGATGAACAACATTATATGTTAAGATTGTTTTAACAGCTAACAGCCGATATGAACAAGATATTCTTCACTAAACATATAGAGAGATGAAACTATACATGTCTTTCCATCATTACAGTGAGAAATTTATCAACTTCGTTGAAAACAAAAAAGTGTACAACATGCACTAAAAGAAAAGGTGTTCGAGTTCTGAAATGATAATGTAGGTGTGATGTCTATTTGGTTTCATTAATTATAAGAGGGAGGCTCAGTTGCCATGTGGTCTAAGTTGTTTATCTACAGTTATCACTACCCTGTCAACTCAAGAGATTGTGAGTTGGGACCCTGCTGGTAGCAAGGTGCGTTTGACTCTGGTCTAACTTAACTAGAACTGCTGTTTTCATGCTGAAGGTTGGTGGTCATTCCATGTACTCTGACTTCCGACACTAATAAAAACTTACAGCCATGATATAGTCATGGTCACTGAAAGTTGCTTAAGACACCAACCAACAAATTTATTCATAACCCTTTTTAAGAAGATGCATCATTTTCATAAGAAATGAAAAGTGTACAACATGCAGAAAAACTGGTCATCTCAATTCAGATTTTTTGTCAAATCAGCATAAAAGCATTAAAGCTTTGAAATTATTATGTATTTATGTTTTGTCACTGATGAAGTCTATTTGTTTACTGTATTATTCAGGTAAATTTAACATAACAAGTAAGAATAAAGAAAGCTGCAATGTAAACATGCCCTCAAGATTAACATCAAACTACCAAGAGAGGTGTGCAAAATAACTACTTCCTGAAGAAAAGCAAGAATGTTATGAGTAATCATACTGCACCAGGTTTCCCATATTGATTTACCTCTTCCTGTTGGTAGATATCTTTTTGTTAATACATTGCAACATTCATGAACTGTGTATTTAATGACAGAATTCACTCTCTTCACTTTAAATATATTAATCCCAATTTGTAATACTGTAAATTCAGAAATTTAAAAAAAAATTTAATACTGTGGATTCATTATTATTCATTGGATACCAATTTTCGTGGATTTCGTGGTTACAGGGGAACCACGAATTCAAATGTTCAACGAATAACAATTTTTTTTTAGGATTGTATGCAGACTTTGGCAAAACCACAAAATCAAATATCCATGAAAATACAATTTTTCCTCAATCCATGAAAATTGGTACCCACAAAAAAAAATGAATCCAAAGTATTGCGAAAATTGCAACATGACAGGTTTCACAAAAAAAAAACCCAGCCTCATATTTTGAATTTGATAGCATTATTTGTATGCAACATTTCTTGAAATTGCAATTATTAATCTGTTGTTCAACAAAAGCAATAAAAAATGCATGCAAAATTTTCTGAATTTTCAGTATTCACAGAGTGGTTGATTTCTTAAGAAAAAGCATTAATTTTCCCCCCACAACTCATCATCTATCTACATGTTTTCCAACTCCTTTTTACCTAATTTTCCACATTTCTACCCCTCTCATGCCCTTCTTTCATTTGTTGCAACCTTAATAATTCAATTATATTTTCTCTCCCCACCTCCTGTCAATACTGGCATTGTTCTGGCTCATTCTATTTCAAGTAGGATTTCTCCTCTTCATTTCCCCTAATTTCTCTGTTGTAGATTCTCCTTTTCATCTCCCCTAACTACTCCCTATATTTACCTGTTGTAGATCAGTAAACACAACCAGACATACCTGTAACATCTCCTCAGGTAAGACTTCTCCCCTTCATTTCCCCAAACTTCTCCCTATATTTACCTGTTGTAGATCAGTAAACACAGCCAGACATGCCTGTAACATCTCCTGAGGTAAGACTTCTGCAGGTCAGTAAACACAGCCAGACATACCTGTAACATCTCCTGAGGTAAGGCTTCTCCCCTTCATTTCCCCTAACTTCTCCCTATATTTACCTGTTGCAGATCAGTAAACACAGCCAGACATACCTGTAACATCTCCTGAGGTAAGACTTCTCCCTTCATTTCCCCTAACTTCTCCCTATATTTACCTGTTGCAGATCAGTAAACACAGCCAGACATGCCTGTAACATCTCCTCAGGTTGGACCTCTACAGTCAGTCCACAGTATATCATCTGACTAAATACCAAAGCTGCAGCGGCCTATAAAATGAAATATGATAAATATATAATACTCTCATCCCTAACCTTATTCAAATAAATATTCAATTTGCTCGACTCATGTCCAGATATGAAACTCTTATCCTCTACTTTGTGTTATTTATTTATTTATATTTGGCTTGAAAAATCAAAATGCAATATCATTTTGAAACAGGTTTTGTACACACATAGACATAGTAGAAGTGTAATATATTTTTTCTTTATTTGAGAAGAACAAATGTCTTTTTTTTTTACCTTAATGAATTCTTTATTGCACATTTGCTGTAACAACTTTCTAAGTTTACAGCTTTTATCTTAGTATCACTCAGGTTAATTTTACCTGATAGTTAGGGGAAGCACTCATTATGTCAGCATTTATACTAAAACAAGTTTTATGATTCCATTCCACAAATGTACATAATAAATGATTGTAAATACACATACAGATCGTGAACTAACTTATTTTTCGGGAAACAACTCCTTTATCAATATTTCCTGTTTTCTACTTGAATTTGGACACAGTGCTGAAAACAAATGTCCATTTTTGACCCTTTTATAAAAAATAAAAAGTTACAAGAAAAAATAAATAAAATAATAGAGTAAAAAAATACTAACTGTATGACTAGCTATTGTAGACTCCAGAAAGATAGAGATCATCACACTAGCTGCATCTGTTATTCTACAATACAAATACAATGTATTGTAACAGTTTCCTTGAGGACACCTTTTATTTCAAAAATCCCAAAATTTGCGAACAACAAAATAATCACCATTCTGTTACGCAAATTCTAAAATTAAAAACTACCGTAGAATAAGTATAACAATGGATTGTTTATTTTCATAGATTTTGTGGCTAAAGATTATATGCCTGTATGCACATTTGTTAAAACCACAAAATCAAATATTCATGAATATTAATTTTGTTCCATCCATGATAATTGGTACCTTGGAAGATCAATGAATCCGAAGTGTTATTCAAATTGAAAACATAAGGCAATCTACAATAATGAAGAAACATGAAATTTAGACCATGGTATCCTATTTGAGTGTGAAGTGTCTGTCTAAAATAAAATGTGTTCCTTTAAGGCAAAAAAGTGTTAACTGAAACCTGCTGAAAAAAATAGTGTTGGTCAATAGGCAAAACTTTTTTATATCAACAAACCCTGGTTAAAGCCTGTTAGCAGTCATTTATCGGAGTTATTTAATGTCAGTCAGATTGGTTTTTATTCGGTTTTATATTAGTACTAAGCAAGTGGTTGACCAAAAAGGACATCGCTGTAAAGAATAATACCAGTGAATATGCAATTTGCAAAATTTTAAGTGAACAATAATGGTTGGTCGGGGTTCAGCAAACTCACATGTTTTTATTTTGGCCTTATTATGATGAATAATTGATTGTAAAGAAGTAATCAAAACGTAAACTCAGTAAAATTAAAGGCAATGAACCGTGAATTTGGGTCAAGGTGACCTACTTCTGATAGTATGTTGTTGGACTACTTAGATTACCTGTTCCAGTCACGAGACTAAAGGTCACCATTTATTACCGGATTTCAAACATAAAAGCTTACAGTCAATAAATTATGATGCCAAGATGTAAAACTTCACCAAATCAACTTGAACACACACACATGAGTGTGAAAATCAAGGTACTTCAACATTCTCAATTTCCTCAGCAGAAACAAGCTCAATTTCAAGAAGAGATAACAACTTACGCAGTTGGCATGGTCTGTAACTGTATAACTATAGTACTGTATATGTGAAGGATCATCTCTATTACAGAATTGACTTCCATGTCTTGGATCTCAACCTATAAATATAAGTCATTTGTTTAAAGTAATAATTTAACCTTCTTTTACTTTAGGGGTCCCAACCAATAAAGAGCTATACTAGAACTAAACCTTATCCTTAACCTAGCCCTACCCCATACCTAACCATAAAGGCTAACCCTAACCCAATCTTTAACCACAAATAAACCCTTACCCTCAAGTACAAGGACCCCTAAAGTATAATGGTCAATAACTTGGTATGAGGCCTCCTTAAGGCAACAATGTTAGTAAACGAAGTTGTCTTTTTTTTTTTGGTTTGTTCTGTCTCATGGTTTACTGTTTAGCAGATGAACTCACATTAAACTTGTAATAGTTTACTGTTATCAAAGGAAAAAATACATGAATGAGGAATAAAAATAAAACTAAATCAGTATGTGTAGCTAATTATTACCTTTCCTATAAGGATCCCCATCAGAGAATAAAACTAAATATTACCTTTCCCATAAGGATCCCCATCAGAGAATCCATATGCTGTACTTGATTAGAAATATATGAACACAATGTGGTAGACACTTGGCAACAGGCATACATTATCTGAAATACACAAACAGAAAATAACTAGAACCTGAATAATGAAATGATATTTATTTGCAACCTTGTGTTTGGAACATATCTAAAATATATTAAGATCAACAGGACGGAATTCTGTAAATTTCAAATTTCTGCATACATTTATTATTGTGAATGTTGATCAATCGACAAAAATGTGAGATCATTTATTCTGATTTCAGAAAATGCTAAATACAAATAAGTCTATCAAAAAATTGTAAAGGGTTCCATGGAACCCTGTGTCTTGCCTGCAATTGCTGCTTTCAGCGTAAAAGTTTAATGTAGGCTGCCACAAACTAAGTCCATTTATCAGTAAAATTATTTTTTTTCTTCAGATGACATTTTTTTTATCTTGAAAGTTTCTGTGCAAGTTTTGTAAAACTCAATTAGGGTTTGACATTAACATTGTATCTGATATCTGAAAAACTTAACCTTTGGACTGTATCTTAAAGTTAACTACAAAGACAAAAACTAAGTCCATTTATCAACAAAATACAGAAAATGAAAATATTATTTTAAAAATTTTGGTCTGGATACTGTCTTTTGAGTATTAAAAAGCTTCTTTTCAAGTTTCATAAAATTCCACGAAGGTTTGACAAAGTTATTAATCTCTAAAAAATAAAATTAACCGCCGACTGAACCTGATGTGATGTGAAGCCGCTGATGTCGTCGATGGAATGTATCATTGTCTCATTTCTGCAGGCTCAACAGAGATGAATTTTTATTTTTATGAAACCTATTTTTTGCACAATTTTTTGAAAAAATAAAAATATTGCAAACATTTCTGAATTTACAGTATTCAGATTTGTTAGTCATGGAAATGTTTGTGGGTATTTATCTTTATAGCCCAATAATGTAATAATAATACCCTTTTTTATGTTGTAAAATTGGCTATTTTTCATATGTACCTTGTTAGTAGTTTCTTTTATCTTTCTCTCTTCATATCAACTAATAATTTTGACACTCAAAACTTTTATCAATCCTGCCATTTCTCATTGTTATTCACAAGAACTGTTGCATATAGATAGGTATCTAGTTCTTCAATTTAATGAAAATAGCAAAAAAAAAACGAAAAAGAAAAGGAAAAAAAATTACCCCAAAATATGTATCTATAATAAACTGTTGACACAGAGATATGTCTCGCCTGTAAGTTATTTTGATAGTAAAATGCATATTAAAACAATACTTTAACATGAAATGTATGCAAAATATTCGAATTCGATGAACCATTTATGAAGATACAGGGCAAAATAATTTCCAAGGAAATAAAATATGCCAATGCTAATACAACTGCATAACAAATAGACCATGACTGAGGGACAAGGCCAAATATTCTCCATAGAAATGAGATGTGTCATACCAAATACATTGACTTATTTTAAGTGGTTTTCCTTACACTGACCTAATCACAAGCTTTACCAAATTGTTGATGCTACCACCAACTGAAACAGCATGCCCAAGTCTTGCTTTTTGAGACATAAATCAAGATACAGAAAGGACATTAGTTTCACAAGTGGCATATATTATTTTTCCAGTACAAACACTTACTTTGAGGACATTTGTACAGAAGAGGGGATGTCTCAGTAACATAAAGAATTCATCTGTCTGTTTCTCATTCCCTTTACAAGCCATCTTGTCTCCTAAATAATGTCCAATCTAAAATGATAAAAAAAACCTTTGTAGGATTTTTCTATACAATATAATTCTATGAAATAAATACATTAAGTTGTATTATGAATTACAGCACACATATCACCAGCATATATTGGTCATACAAAAAGCATGAAACATTTGTAAAGCAAGTAAAGTCAATAAATCCCAAACAAAGTCAATAAATCCAGCATACATTTACAGTATATCACCCTTTTATATGTCCTGCTTAAACATTTGACCTTTTTCTGAACTCCATAGGTTTAGTTTACTCCCTTCTGTCATTTCTCTGAACTTCATGACTTTAATTTTGCCAACCTCTATCTTTTCTCTGAACTTCTTGATTTTAGTTTGCCCCCATCTGTCCTTTCTCGGAACTCCATGACTATAGTTTAGCCCCCTTATGTCCTTTATTCATTCTCCATTAATTTATTTTTGCTCCCCTCTGCCTTTTATTTGAACTGCATGACATTAATTAGCTCCCCTTTGCTCTTTATTTGAACTGCATGACATTAGATTTATTCTCCCTTGACAATGATATCAGATGACACAAAAGTCTTGTCGTTTGTCTTTATTTTGTCACTTTGAACTAGATTAATCACAGGTTCTAATGTAGTCAAAATTAAAGGAGATAACTTTACCTTTCTACGACCATCAACAGCATCATCCGCAGTAAGAGGCAAATTAACCATGGCGGCCACAGTAGTTACACCAAGGGAGATTAGCATGTCCATTCTTTCCCCTGCTATGTCTTCATTTCCATCTGTAAGTTCTAAAAGAAAATATATCAACATTATATCTTATCCAGTGTCTGTAAAGTCCATTTTGTTCAATTTTGTTCAAATGAAACACTAACATATTGACACAATATATACTGTTGTTTCAATAATTTTCCTGGGTACCAAATCTTCGTGGATTGTGCAAAAATTGTGTTATGAATATTTGATTTCCTGGTTATGTTAAAGTCTGCTGACAACCTATACAATGTTCATACTTCATTGAACAGTCAATTTGTTGTTCACCTATACCAAATAAATCAACAATAATTGCGCAGCTGGATACGACCGCAGAGGTCCAACCCTGAACAGTTGGGGCAAAAATGGACACAATATTCGCACTTGATACAGGTCTGAATTTGGATTGTAATTTAATATTTGACACATAATAGGTTTCTGACACAGAATAACTGTAGTCAAAGAACTAAGAATTGGTTATATGATTTGATATATTCAATTTTTTGCTTTGTGCAATACACTGTGCCTGTGCGAATTGACCCCCCCCCCCACCCCACCCCCCCAAAAAATAAATAAAAATTAACCCATTTTTTTTTTGCTTTTGTGCAATACACTATGCTGTTGCGTATTGACCCCCCCCCCCCCCCCCCCCCCCCCCCAAAAAAAAAACAAAAAACCCACCCTTTTTTTGCATAAAAAAACAATGTGAAGAAATTTTGTTTAATTTCTGAAATCTGAAAAAATTGCCCCCCCCCCCCCCCCCTTTTTCCAATAAAGAAATTCTTTCTCTCAAGATATAGTCATAATCTCAATTCAAATTACCAATGGAGTTTGCAACCATAATTACCCATTTAAATACATCTTGAAAGTCTTAAATAGATAATTTAAAAGCAGTGTAAGGGAGGTTATCCAACATTGTTCAACATTGTACAATTTTGTTTTTGGATTACCTCCCTTACACTGCTTTTAAATTGTCCATTAACCAGGAAACCCTTGTTTTTCCCTCTTTTTTGCCCCTAATTCCTAAACGGTTTGAGCCATAACCCCCCAAAGCTAATCCTAACTATCCCTTTGTGGTATGGAAACTTGTGGTATAATTTCAGAGAGATCCATACACTTAAACACAAGTTATTGTCTGGAAACTAGCAAAATGCCTTTTTGGGCCTCTTTTTGGCCCCTTATTCCTAAACTGTTAGGACCATAACCCCCAAAATCAATCCCAACCTTCCTTTTAAGGTATTGAACCTTATGGTAAAATTTCATAGAGATCCATTCACTTAAACTAAAGTTATTGTGTGAAAACCAATGTGTCTTCGGACGACAACGTCATACCAATATACGGTCGTATAAAAAAGTACTCCTCGAATAATAATGAATCCACAGAACAAATTTACCAACTTCAAGTAACAAACAATATTGGTATGCAACAAATGAATTTATTGTCTATGTGAAGGGCAGCAGTTAAAGCTGTGTTTATTTGATATAATAATTATTTCCTGGTACAAATCATGTCTCATGAATTGTCCACCTTTAATTGTTTCCATGAGGGTGCCTCGGTGGTGGAGTAGTCTAAATAGTTCATTTGCAGTTTTCACTCGTCTGTCAATTCTGAGGTTGTGATTTCTAAACCACTCGTGGCAGGGTGTTTGACTCCAATCTTAATTGACAAGGATTGCCTGTTTCCCTGCTGAAGGTTGGTGGTCTTTGACCAGGCACTCTGTCTTCTCCATCAATAAAAACTGGCCACCATGATAAAGCCAAGAATGCTGAGAGTGGCCTTAAACATCAACAAACAAACAAACAAACATTTTTTTTCTTCCCAAAACATTAATACCTATACTGTTGCAGAATAATATTTTGGGAAAAAACAAGGAAATATAAAAATTTATAAAAAGCAACACAAGCATCGAAAAGCAAACATCTTAAAGACATTTAAGAAGTAAAACCTATCAAGTATTATAATATAGTCACTCTTCAAGACCCTGCTTGCATGCTTTCTTAGAGTTCTATCTCTTACACCCATGGCTAGCATGCTTTCAAGTTCTTTAACAACTGACTTGTTTACTCTCAAGTCTTTTCACAACATTTCAATCATCCAAGATATTTAATAATGCATGCGGGTAAGCAATGCTTTTGTAAAGTACTTTGAAGTGAACAGGTTCTTCATTTTCCATGGAAGACATAGGATCGAGAAAAGGTCAAAGGCGAAGCACTGAAGGTCAAAGGCCATGCACTGAAGGTCAAAGGTGATGCATTGAATCTAAATGTGAAGTAAATACTGATGAATATCTGTTGAATGAGAAACAGTATATACAATAAGTGTTAGTTAGATAATCTTATACCAGGATGGATATTCAATATATAAAATTGATCACACATTTATCTACAAATGGATTTTTCAGGCCAATTAACAGATATTTATAAAGGTTGGTTTGTAATTCACTTAAATTTCACCTTATAAGACACCTAATATGCGTTGTAATCTCAATGTTTAAATGAACAGTAAAATACATAATTTCAAAATGCATCTAAATTATTCATATCTTCATTTATAAATCAAAGAAATACTGTAATTTAATTTATCAAACATTACAAAAAAATCAGGAAACTTGATCAGTAAATTATCCGCATACAAATTCAAATTTTTTTTCTTCATTTTATTGACTTTTAAAAAAATATTTTTCAGCAGTTTCTCATTCAATTATTGGACTGTATTCAAAATTATCATGGAACACTACATTGTGCCATGCAAAATTGAGTCTGATAATGATTTTCAACAGTGTTTCCAGACTATTCCAAATGAAAATTTGCATGTAAAATAATAAGGCTCTTTTTTTAGAATATCCAACACCCATGCAAATGTATTCTCAACTATGCAAGGAATGTTATTTTAACTGTAACCATCCATGCAGAAATATTAAAAAGTACTTTTGAAACTTCCAATATAATCTTTAAATGGTATAGGTCTAAGTTAATCATCGTTAAAGAGAGATTAATTTGTTTATTACATAGATTCATACACCAATACCAAAAATTGAAAATAAAAAGAGGTTTGTTTATAGAAATGTATTTCATGCTAATGCTATTTCGAGGACTGAGTCAAATTAGTTTCAAAGCTCTGCTTTCCTATTAGTTTTAATAACCAGTTTAATAAAAGTGATATCGTTTTTTATCTATGTAATAACTAAATTTAAGAATGCAATAATAACATAAATGTGGTGCAATAGCTTCTTACCTTCCAGTATGTCCCATTCTATAGAAACCATTTTAGTTACAATAAGCATAAGTATTAGTACAAAAAGAAATTTAAAATTGTTCATTTTTTTATATTACATTAATTTAAATAATTTAATGTTGATTTTACACTGAATCTTTCTGCTAGCTTCTTAATTTGTGAAGACTCATCCTTTCTTTTAAATCCAATTTTAACCTCTAACCTCTCGTATGACTTTTCTTTCATATGAAAACAATTTAATAGAAAAACATCTATTCCATTCAACACTGTTCAGTCTATAAACTCTATTTATTTACCGTCAAGCCTGAAAGGATGACCCATCCCAAGTGATCAGAAGTGAATGTATTTAGTAGATTTGTTGAAAAAAGTCACATTAATTAAATATTTTTTAAAGTGTTGGGATAGTAATGACACTAGTAGATATGGCATGTAACTGATAAACAGTTACAATTTACAAAATTAACTTTTTTTAAATACTGTAAATTCAGAAGTTATTGCGAGGTTTTTATTAATGCTAATAATGTGACTGGGTGAGTATCACAATTATAAGAACTCGCATTCTGATATCAGAAACTATAACTGTATGAAGATTTTCCCGAAATCACAATAATTAATCTCGCATTTTTGTTCTTTCTTCAAAAATAATAAATGCACACAATAATTTCTGAATTTACAGAAGTCAACTCTTCTTGAACACATAAAACTTCAACTTCATTTTCAAATTAAAGTAGCTAATTATTCAATTAGGTCTAAAAACAGATTAATGTGACCTTTAGAAAAAATCATAAAAATCTAAATGTGTCTACATCCAATCTGTTAATCATGTTAATTGCCACAACTTTCAAAGAGTTGTCTATCTGCTACAAAATGGTAACTAGATAAATGTTTCTATAATAGTAAAGATTTATTACCTATTAACTTTTTTAAGCGAGCTTCTTCCAATTTACAACAAGCAAGTATGGCATCAATAGCATCAGTTTCTTTTGCAGCCAAATGACTAAAGTACTGGTTCCCAATCTTTAATTTGTCTCTTTCCATTGCCTCACATGTATACATGGAACACTGCAGGTCAAATATATATTTTAGTAATGCATGCTGCCTTTGCATTATAAAAAAAGATGAATAAAAAGAGATGCAGTGTATAAATGTCAATGAGACAGCAACCTAATGATACAAATAACCAAAAGAAATCAAGAGACCAACTAACAATAGACAGGTGTCTATACAATATGTCAAGCTCTAAATCACCCAAGTCAAAAGCTATATGTTTGTTTGAATTATCACAGTTATGGGTAACGCATGTGACAGATATTTGAAGTCAATAGTTCAAATTGCAATACTATTGTGTAAACATTGCCAAATAATGGTCAAAACAGGAGAAAATGTGAGTCTTTAATTTTATTTTCAATTCTAAAAATTGTAAAAATCTAGAAGTTTTTCTCGAATAATGAAAAGTATACCTGTAAAATTTCCATCAAACATTATTTCAGTTATCTTGCAAAAATGAGCAATTTATTTTTAACAGTTCTAGCTTTGTTAAATCCAAGTTCTGTTTTTCCACATCTGACAAAATATTCACTTAAAGCCTAACACAGTCATATCAACTACCAATCTGTTTCTTAAGAAACATTCTGTCACTTTGCACCTAAAGACACACATTTTATTATTGCACTCACCAAAATAACTTGTTCTCTGAGTCGTAGATCTTCATCTGATGACACATTCAGTAACTTTGGCACTAAAGACATGTATTCTGTCATGGCGTTTAAGTACATTTGTCCTCTGCAAAAAAGAAAAATGCATAAACTGCACTGTCGTTAACAAGGATGTAATCAAAGTAGGAATATAGTTTCAATACATTTTTCTTGAAAAGTCAATGTCTTCATGGTTAGTGGTAAAAAACATTTTTTCTTGGATTTTGAATTCATGGTTTAAGACTTGTAACCTTACAAAACAATGAAAACTATAATAGAGTGATATAGTGATCACATATACCCAACATTGCAGAAAAAAACCTAATAATATCAAAACCAAGATTTAAATTGAATGTGAGCTGTATTTCATGTTTCATAACACTGTGTCAAAATCTTAAAAGATTTTGTAAATTGGTACTTTCATTTCTATCTGGAATACAATGTACATGCAGTATATCCCCTCCTCAATTAATAAGTTTAGCAAGGGATGACAAAAATATTTAAACAATGAAATAGATAACTTTATCAATGTTTTCTCATACAAAGAAAAACAGATAAGTCCACAGTTTAATCATTTTCATGTTTTTCCTAGAATTAAACCGGACATTAACACTTACACTTCTTTATCGATATCCTCGTTCCAGCTGACCTCACTAGCAAAGTAGGCATTAACCGTTATCACTAAGTCTATAAGTATCTGTTGGCACCAGGGTTGCTAAAAATAAACAATTAAGGAATTTGACATATTAATAACATTAAATTTTTATTACATCACATTAAAAGTTCAAATTGGCACCATGATTGCTAAAAATAAACATGGTATGGAAATAAATAAATTTGGTGTATTTACTGTCTTCTGATTGGTTAAAAGTATTGCCTTTATTTTCAATGTTGTTAATCTTTATGGCGACACGCCCACTCTGGCGTTGTGTATTCATACGCCAACATGTGTGTACGTTGTTATTGTTAATATAAATAATATAAAAAGCTCTTTGAGCCTTATTTTTGATAGAAATTTATTTATAATGAACATATTATAACATTATATTTTTATCACATAAACATTGTGGTACAATTTCAGAGCAATCGAAATACTTATACACAAGTTATTATCCTGAAACTTGAAAAATGCTTGTTTTGGGCCCCTTTTGGGCCCCTAATTCCTAAATGGTTGGGACCATCATCCCCAAAATCAATCCCAACCTTCGTTTTGTGGTATTGGACCTTCTTAAAAAATTTCATAGAGATCCATTCACTTAAACTAAAGTTATTGTCCAGAAACCAATGTGTCTTCAGACGACGATGCAGACGACATCATACCATTATACGATCCCAAAAAAATTTTTGCGGTCGTATAAAAACTAAAATTGGCACCAGGATTGCTAAAAATAAACATGGTATGGAAATTAACATATTATAACATTATATTTATATCACATAACATTAAAAACTAAAATTGGCACCGAGGTTGCTAAAAATAAACAAGATATGGTATTTGACATATTACATTTTGTAATACATTAAACTTTTATTAGATTATACTAAATTTTAAATTCTATAGAGAAAAGGTACACATAATAACCACAACAATATATGTTTTGTTTGGATGTAATTTCATTGCCATATACCCTCATCTTATTCAATTTACAGCAAAATACTTAATTTCAAAGTAAAAAACCAATGCCAATTTTGCAAGTTCAAAGTTATAGATATAAGAAGATGTGGTATGAGTACCAATGAGACAACTCTCCATCCAAGTCAAAATTTATAAAAGTAAACCATTATAGGTCACAGTACAGTCTTCAACACGGAGCCTTGGCTCACACCGAACTGTAAGCTATAAAGGGCCCCAAAACATTACTAGTGTAAAACCATTAAAACGGGAAAACCAACGGTTATATATAAACATGAAATCTTGCTTTTAACTTTGTCCTAGTACTATGCAAATGCTTCAAATCACTGAAACATAATTCAAAATTTTTTTTGGTATTTCTCTTATGGTGGATTGAGAATGTAGATGACATTCAAAATTTCAGGACTTCTGACTTTTTACGAATTGATGGTTGCAAATCACTGTTATTGCCTCAACTAAAGTGCTGAAATTAAATTAAAATTTTTACCATCATATCTATGACTGACATGACTGATGCGTGGCATAACCAATTCCAAACCCGTCCATTTTACATCAACGTCTGATCAAAATGAACAAGATATCTTTTTCCCATTATGCTGTGTTTCAATTTCATTGCCATATACCTACAACTTATTTAATTCACACCAAATACTTTAAACCAACTTATGTTTTAAATTAATTTACCTATGAAATTTTTGCAAGTAAAAACCTACCAAAATATATATGTCATCCATGGATCTTCTGTTGTATGACCTCATCAACAAAGAAAGCAAATCTTAAAAATTTGACAACTTCTAAGTCAGCCAGAAAGGGCTCAACATAAAAAAGTATCTGAGTGTGAAAATACCTTGCTTTTTCAGTACATCATTCTTCAACACTAACCTGTCTGACTGTAGGTTTGTTCAGGATATTATGTATCATTTTAAGTGGCTGCTGAGGAATTGATAAAGCCTTCACAAATGTCAGGATCCACTTCAAATCACTGGAAATATAGTACATTTCAATCTTGATTTGTTTAAAATATAACAAAATTTGCAATTAAAAAAAATGCTTGGGAATCACTAGATTTTAATGTCAAACATTATTTTAGTGATATAACATACCTTAAGGGATGTTACTTACATTCAAATTTAGGATAATAAAAAAGTGGCAGCCCCATTTTCTATATATATGGAACCAATGTATTCCAAAATACCCCCTATAAGTTAATGCATTACCTTATTAAATAATCCCTAGATATAATTAACTAGTTTTAATTCAAATGGTTATTGCAATACAATGTGTAGTAGGCACTCTAATTTTGGGGATATAATATTTTCAATAAACTGTTGACACAGAGATATGTCTCGCCTTTCGGCATAAAATTTAGAAAAAGACAATCTGATGGACAGCAACATTGCTAATTAATTCCAAGTCACTGGACCGTGAACTAGTAGGTAGGGCCTCAAAATGGTCAACAAACTGAGATGTACAGACAGTAATGTAACTTTATAGAAAATATAATTGACTACTGTAAGTAGATCATATCAAACTAACCTAAGCAGAAAACTTAACATTGAAAATTGGTAATGAATTGAAAATCACTGGACCATGACCTACAGTGCAGGGAATTAAAATAGTTGTCGGACTGATATGATCTGATAGTAATGCAACTTTATAAAAAATATCATTGATCTATCATAAGTAGTTCTTATCAAACTAATTTAAGCAGAAAACTTAACAAATGTTGATGCCAACTACAACGTCATCATCACCACTGGAAAAGTAATACCTATGTCTCGCCTTCCATGATTTTGACTCAAGCACGACAAAAACTCTTTAAAATTCATACAAAGACTTTTTGAAAAAGGCTATACTAACCATTTCAGTGTAATTAAATTAGTTATAATTCTAAGAACAGATTTCAATTTAGCAGCTCCCTCCAGCATGCCATCTAATACTTGTGTAGAACTATTCTGTATCCTTGTGTTCAGTCGAGTGTGAAATTTACTGTCTTTAAGCATCTGTATAGCCTGCTCAGGATCCCCTTCCTGATCAGTAGCATCAATTAGTCCTTCCCATTCATCATCGCTACAAACCTCCTACAACAGCCAAATTTCTTATCATTTCTTTATGTTTACAAACAGGACATTGAAAAGAAACTTTACATTCAATAACAATGACTATCATCTACTTCATCTCTCCTGTTCTTTAAAAAGATACATTTCCTTGAGTTTAAGCATGAAATAATATGTCATTTCCAATATGCCAAATGAGGCAAGGCAGTCCTTGCCTGCTTCAATTTTAACTGAAATTTATCAAAATATCAAATACAATACCTATATGTTGTAGGCATTGTATTTCCACCTCTTATGATAAAAAAATAGTATATCTTCTCCATCGGAGGTGACTAGCATGAATTTTCTACACTCTGTACCCACTCAAGGTGTTAATGGGTTGAGATGAACAAATCAATCAATGTTGTAGCATTTATGTACCGTATTTGTTAAAACATTATCCCTCCTTCTAATTATTTCAACAGTTACAAATATACTTGACTTTACAGAAATTAAGCTGTGAGGACCTGAGAATGAAAAGCAAAGGACAAATGGAGATAAATTTATGATCTTTTTGGTGATCATTCCTTTCAATAACAACACACCATTTTTTCACAAGGCACATTAAAAACAGTCCTCAAGCTTAACCACACACACACCAGCCAAAGGCTTGTAATATTTATGTCGGGCCTTTAAAAAGTAAGTCTACAGACCAAAGGAATCTAATTAAATTTTATGTAAAATTGAGCTTTGGACCAATGCATTCAAAAGTTAATGTGAAGACTGTAAAAACTTTTAATACATTTTAATACCAACTCACCTCTCCATCCAGTTTAACATTTTCAATAGTTTTAGTTTTTTCTTTATTCTTATCTTTCTCTCTCTCAGGAATCCTCCGTACTGTTGTACGTCCTTCAATCTCTATACTGGGATATTCTTTCTCATAGTCTTTACTTATTCTATCTGGTCTCGGTGTTGGACTTATATTCTGTCAAAATCAAATTTATAATTTTACGGTGAAACATTTCTCCCATGGAAATATAACTGTTGTAAAATTCAGCATTTCAACAAACAGTGAAACCTGTCTTCTATGAACCCTGTATGAACGGGAAACATGTCTAAAGTGAACTTCTTTCTTTTATCAAGACATATGATAAATATATTCTTAGGGCTGTTCCACAATTTATTGGGTGGGGGAGGGAAGGGGGATGATGGGAGGCACACAAATTAACTAAGTATGGGTGGTTGCATTTTCCTTAGAATTTTATAAGAATAATAAGTTAACTGAAAATATTCATTTTTTGGTTTGTAAAGGTCTTAAAAAAGTGTGTCCCATTCCCCCCATGCATTAAATTCTGGAACAGCCCTTAGGTATCTTAAACAAATTTTTGTCTAAAAGTAAGAAAATCATCAGTTAAGATAGGTTTTACTATTCTTACATATAACTTATTAAACAACTGTAAAGAGATTTTTTTCTTTATAGTAATTTGTTACTTAATGATCAAAGTAAAACATATAACAAATTCTGCTGCAACATCGTTTGTAACGTTCATTTTGATTGAATAACGTGACCAATTTTCATGGCATCAATTCACAATTGATGCTATGAAAATGCAAGCACAAGCACAGACGACGTATGACAGATTTTAAATGTATGATTGAACTTTGTTTTCTGTCAGTTTCATTAGAATGGAGATAACAATATTGTATTTTAAGCTCCAATGGCATCAATTGGTGATTTGATGGTTGCAAAAAATCAGTTTACTGGCTCCCCTAACATGTCACCAGTTAACTTAATTTGCGACCATTAAATCACCAATTGTTGCCGTCGGAGCTTAAAATACAATACAGTTATCTCCTAAATGGAAGACATTGCACGAATTAAATATATTATCGGATAAATTGTTTTTTATTTAAATTTTAGAAAATAGGTGTTTCTTGTGCCATACCTATAAGCCATATACAAATATCTATATCAAGTTTAGAATTTAAATACTACACTAGCCATTCCTGTACACAATACATCTTGGTGAATCTTCCCTGAACATTTCTAATGTGAACTTTTTTTACAATTATACACAGAAATGTTTACAAAGCTAGCCACTCTAGCCCAAATGTGAAAAATATAAGACATAAACATGAATTGAGACTTTACAAAACTAGCCTTTCTAACCTAAAAACAATCTTGAACAGACACTTGAATAGTATTTCAAACTCTAATTAGCAGAATAATAATCTAAAAAGACTAAAGTTTATCGGTAAAAGTTACATTTCAAAATTGGTAGAAAATGTTCCTTTTAATTGGTAAGAATGTCCATCTGGGTATTAAATAATAAATTTCAGTCTTAAAAGCTGTTGACCTTAAATGAATACAAGTTAATGTTGTATAAAACTCTATAATTTAAGATTACTACTTTAATTACCTCCATCAATTCTAATAAACTTGATTCAAAATGTAAAATTCAATCCTTTTTTTTACAATTTTGTTTATTCAAAGCAGACAGGTGCTACCTTATATTTCTTAGGTATATTTCCCATAACATACTAGATATTTATGAAATATTGTATTTAAATCGGCCACACAATGACAACAACAAATTGTGAGTGCAATATGACTTACACGATAGGAATCATTCTTCTTCAACTAAAAACATATAATCAATTATATAGCGTGTGTGTATAGGTATGTGTACATAAGTGAAGGATTAACACATATGAAGTATATAATTTCAAAATCAAGTTGTTTATAAATTTATTTATCAAACATTCAGTCTTTTAATATGTATGTCTACTACTTTCAGGTCAATTTAGATGTGATAGCAGAATCTATATGTATCTGTGCTCGAAGGGAAAATTATGACCAAACATGTCAATATTTGATGATTTAAAAAATATGGTTAATATAACAAGAATGCATGGTTTGTTGTGCTAGGGGATACCCCACTGGTATTTGAAAGTATTGGAAAGGGGAGGAATAAGGTGTCTTACAGATCTGAAAAGTTTCACACTTTACAACTCATCACTTCCAAGCAACGGACCAAATATGAAGTCATTCTCATTGGTAGTACTGGAGAAATGTGTAACGAAAATTTTCAAGTTCATTCATCATATTGAAATATTCAAAGTATCAGCATACAGGAAGTATAGGTGTCTGACAGATCAAAAAAGTTCTTACACTTTACAAATCATCGCTGTCAAGAGACTGATTTTCAGAAGAAAAAAACAATTAATTTTTAACAGCGAAGCAAATTCTGCAAGGTATTCATTTATTCCTAAAGCAAAGATAACAGAACCTTTTTTGCCTCACATTTATTAGACTATCTTATACAGCAAATTTACCTCCCATGCTTAGAATAACAACTTTTTCAACGGAAAAAGAGAAAGGATTACTTATGGTGGTACCTAACACTACAGGGAGATAACTCTGTAAAAATCAGCTAAACGTTTTAATCACGTTGTTTTGTTAAGGAAATATTAAGCTTCTCAATGATCAAAATTAGTGTTTGTCAAACTGCTATATAACCAACGAAATTTTTCTGATAAAGTGGTTGGTTCAAATTATTTGAAATTTTTATATTTTTGTCAAAGGGTCAAAGTAAACATTTTGTCAAAATTTTATGAAAATTAAACGAGCCAAATTAATATTAGTCAAGGTGTTGGGTACCACCTTAAAAGACAAAACCTACCTCAATTTCTGGTTCTTTATCCTGTTAAACAGAGAGTTATTGTTAGTTTACACTTCAAACTTTAAGCACAACACAAAAACATTTATGATTTGTTATTCATATAAAGCTTAATCTCTAATAATTATGTTTTAGTCTCAAATATAAATTAAATAGTAAAAAAATACTTGCTTATAAATGTTTTAGGAGATATAAATCAAAATAAGAATGAACTTTTAAATTTATTATAAAATACACTAAAAAATGTCAGTTTTCATGCATGCAAATGACCATTCTGAAATTAGGAGAGCATTAGACATACAAAGGGCTCTTCCATTAAAATGAATGGGGTAGGGTAGGATGGGAAGTTTCATTTTTGGACAGTAGTTGTCGCTCATTTATGGTTGTTTGTCCATACAATGGGTCTCTTCCAATATGAAGCTATGGTATATACAGACCTACCACTGGAATGGGTCCTTTTTTGAAACCTCAAATATATCATTAGGTTGCATTTCACCAATTGTAAAATGTCTATGGGTTAGTTATGCTCATCTTTCAATTAGAGTTTTGTATAAATGCTGGTTTATTGTTTTAAATCAAATCAAGCTGTCAAAAATTGTATGTGTGATGACTAAGTAAAATATAAATGGGTTATGATTTTGCTGTGAAATACATTTATCGGTGGTGATTTTCACAAGACTTCAATATATGAATGGGTGTGTTTTTGAAATCCCAGCTGCACATCTGCACCCAAAATCCCATGTTGAGACCCTCCATGTTTGTCCATTGAATGTATGCAAAATTACTAAAAAGTATGATGTTTGTAGGGATATGTAGAAAAGTCCTTTCCTATCCTCCCACACCTATTTTAATGGAATAACCCTAACATAACGAAAGCTACCATCCTTCACAAATATGACCTACCTCACTAAGACCAGTATCCTGCCATTCCTCTGAGTGAGGTCTTTCTAGTTCCTGAGGGGGTGGTGTGGGTTCCTTTTCTTTTTCTATTTTTTCCTTCTCTGGTCCTTTTTTACTTGGACCCCATGCCTCTTTACTAGATGATATTTTTTCTCCATTTGGTGCTGGTGGCTCTTTACCTTTCTGTCAAAAACAAATATTGTATGTAGATGTCAATTTTATACTTTTAAGTTAAAACAAATTTAGATATCTACACCATATTGTAAATTATGGTAATAATATAGAGTGTATGACAAGATATTAATTTCTTTCCATACATTTCATATGAAAATTTAAGAGACATCTTTTACCGCCAAAAATCAAAATTTTTCAAAATGCCTGTATTTCACAAAACAAGCATACAGACCTATTAGTCTATTGAAAAATAAATCATTTATGATGTGTTCTTTTTTTTATTTCAGTAACAAACATTCTTATGCTCTTTGTGTAGTTTGTGATAAAAAATCAAAGTTTAAAGAGATGGTTTTATCAAGTTTATGTTCACCTTTGGAATTTCTTCAGCAATCACAAGGTCAACCATGGGTTAGTTCCTTAATCATGTTAATTATTTTATATTTTCCATAACTTTGAGATCTAAATATTCTAACTATTATTTTCCAAGATTTAGGAAAATTTGATAACTGAGTTTGTTTTTTTTCAAAATAATTGAATAAATACTAAATATATAACACCAGATTTGACTGTATGGTTGACAGACAGAAAGTTTGTTTGATTGTAAGTGTTACCCATATGCCATTGCAGAGGAAAAAATCTACAAAATTGTGGTGTAACATATAAAACAACTGATAAATTTGTAAAAACAATTATCCAATAGTTAGATGGAGATTTCAGAATGTCAGCAGTGTTAGTAGTGCAGGGGAAAACATTTTATACTTACATATGGTTGTCCTTCTGTCTCTGACTATAAGGAATGACTTAATTAGTAGAATGATATCAATTGTATTCAGACAAAGGCCGGGATTCTGCTTTTTAAATTGCAAATAAATATCAATCTCCAGTAAAAATGAGAAAAAGAGTCTACATTAATTGGCAGAGTGTAAGTTTTTCTAGACCTAAAGAACAAATTGGAACATACACGAGGGACTAAAGGTTATAATTCTTTGGGGTAAAACAAAAGATCTCTGATCCAAAATCAATCTATAAATGTGTTGTCATGCCATTTGTTTTAAGAAAGAAATGTCATTTGTTGTTATGACATTATAAGCCATCCAAATGCAAGCAGACAGTCAACAGATAACTGCTGTGATGTAAACAGCTAATCAAAAGTAAGCTGTAGGTCAACAGATAACTGCTGTGATGTAAATGGCTAATCAAATGTAAGCTGGAGGTCAACAAATAACTGCTGAGGTTAATGGTAAATCAGAAGTAAGCTGGAGGTCAACAGATAACTGCTGAGGTTAATGGCCAATCAGAAGTAAGCTGGAGGTCAACAGATAACTGCTGAGGTTAATGGCCAATCAGAAGTAAGCTGGAGGTCAACAGATAACTTCTGAGGTTAATGGCCAATCAGAAGTAAGCTGGAGGTCAACAAATAACTGCTTTGATGTAAAACAGCTAATAAAAAGTACGCTGTAGGTAAACAGATAACTGCTGTGATGTAAATGGCTAATCAAATGTAAGCCGGAGGTCAACCGATAACAACTGTTATGTTAATGGAAAATCAAAAGTAAGCCGAAGGTCAACAGATAACAACTGTGATGCAAACAGGTAATCAAAAGTAAGCCGGAGGTCAACCGATATCTGCTGTAGGTTTAATGGCCAATCAGAAGTAAGCTGAAGGTCAACAGATAACTGCTGTAATGTTAATGGCAAATCAGAAGTAGGCTGAAGGTCAACAGATAACTGCTGTTTTTCTCATAACAATTGTAGTTAAATAATGTTTTATGATTTGTCACTTTTTTTTGTGTTCAATTTCCAAGAATATAAAATTTAGTGTTTGTTGTATTTCTTTTAAGCAAGTTCCAAATAAATTCAATATAAAAACTAGATTATAAAACTGTATGATAATTTCCCATACCTTTTTCTCTTCCTCCATAGCCTTCTTTCGAGCCTTAGCCAGTATTTTAGAAGTTCCTGGTGGATGTGCTTTCTCTTGTGCCTGCTTTTCCTTTCTCATAACCATAGAAGCTGTGAGAGGCTGTGTAAAGGGACTTAGTAACTTGGTGTCTTCGTCTTTCACTATAAAGTATTTTTTAATGTAAATTCAAGACAAAATATTGTATCCAACTAAATGCAAAGAGTCAATCAAAAATCAAATCTGAGATTATACCACTGTACACTCTATATGTAAACCTTAGGCTAGGTAGCAATGCTTCATAGTGGTACATTGAGACGCAGAAAGAACTTTTCCAGGACTTTAAGATTGGGTACTTACTTTTGCGGGAATTCAGGATTAACACTTATTATGACTCATTGTAATTAATGCTTCAATTTTTTGAGAATTCAGGATTCAGCGTTTATTTTTCCAGGAGTTAGAAATGACATCCCCTCCTACCTCCCTCTACATTGTCAATCCTTCTTTGATTTATAAATGTAAGTAGGTGATTACAACTGCTACTTATTATAGTGTTCAATGTGTTTTGTACGAGGAAAATTTAAATTATATAATGTGAATTCATTATTGTTCATGTGGTACTTATTTTCATGAATTTTGTGGGCATGAAGAACAGTGTTCTCCCCAGGCCCTTAAAGGACCGCGGGCCCGCAATGTACAATTTTTTAGCGTGGTGCTATTGGTTTTACCGCGATGTATAGTTTTTGTCCATGGTGCTAAAAATTTTCTGTAAAAAAATCGTAATTCGGTAAAATTTTAAACGATTTGTTAAATCTATTCCTTGCGGTATAAATTTCCAGGTGAAATTTGACCAGTTCAAACCAGTTCAACACAGATTGTTTACACTACATGATCGATTTACCTTACGAGGTTTACCTTGTTGATTGGATTTAATCGATGTAATTAACACTTGTTACATGATTCTTTTGTGTTTTAATTAAGAGATCATAACTTTATGATCACAGATAACTATTTTATGGCTTCACTCACCAACCAAGCGCTGACCTGTGACAAGTCAGCAAATACTTTGTACACAAACAGTGTCAACTCGATAGTTATACACATGCCAGTACATTTTTTGTACATAATAAAATTGGCTCATTTCTCTATTCTTATATTATAGTATTATAATATGTCTCTTATTAAACCATGGCCAAAATTATCTTTCATTATGACATAGTTATTGCATGATAGTATCTGTCAACAAGTAATTCAAAGGGGGACGGACATCTGTACATATCACATGACCCACTTAGTTCACGTAGAATATTCAAGTTTATTTACTATTAAGTGCAATCTATTCTATCTTATAAATAAAATGCATGACTGTACCTTAACTGGATATCTATATCCATAATTAATGAATAACAGAAGTAATCTTGCAAATTTTATTCAAAGCACATGTTAAATCTATTTATATCTACTTCCTGTCATTTAGGCGGGAAAATAGGGAGACTTTGTTGTTGACATTGAATATGGTTACTTATAGAACATACAATAGACCTAAAGGTTAATATTTACATGAAATCTATGGCAAAATGTGTTTTAGAATTTATGAAAAATTTCTTTTCATTAAAATTTAGCATAGAAACTGGTTCAAATAATAAAACAATATTTGTTCTTGTTAATAATCTCCTTATGACAGGAATCGTTTCACATACAACAACTTTCTTTCTAGAAACTAGAAAGTTTTTTAAATTGAATATTTTTGTTCTCTTTTGAATGATATTTTATTTTTATTGATCAGGGATTTTATAAAAGATTTAATTACTTTAAATTCAGATGAATATTTTGTAATGAATCATGTTTTATTTATTTTTTAAAAATATTAAAGTATACAAACTGTATATTGATTTACTTCTTTTTTACCAATAATTTTCTGACTCAATGTCTATAGCTACATAACACAGTGCCACAGGCACAGTATTAAAACAAAACAAGAAACATAAAAACTGCAGTAACTAGAAAATTGTAGAAATATAGCGATGCGACGCGGCACAACTGATTATATGAATCATTTCACCAAGCTGTCCACGCGCGTTACCCCGGTGCTATCCTAAAATCCTGGGGAGAACACTGAAGAACCATTAATTTAAGTATTTAACAAAACACTCTTTTTGTTTGGCTTATTTGCAGAAATTGTTAAAACCACAGAAATATAATCTTCTTACTCCACAAAAATGTTACCTATGAAAATAGATGACTTCTCTGTGAAAACTGTAAATGCAGAAATTATTGCATGTATTTATTATTGTGATTTTTTAATAATGGACAAAAATGTGAGATTTTTTATTGCGATTTCAAGAAAATGCATAATATATGTAACAAATTCAGAATGCATGTTCTTATTACATGTATTATTGCAATACTCACCCAGTTGCATTATTCGCATTAATAAGAACCTTGCAATAATTTCTGAATTTACAGTAGCTAATTTCTTTACCTGAAACACCATCCCCAACAAATGAATGCATCAGTAAATCTGGCCAGGCCAATCTTGACCTGGGATTCTTTGTCAGTAGACCTTGTAAAAAGTCCTTAAATACTGATGACATGTTCTTAGGCCACTTGACTGGATCCTTTATTATCAGACTAACCAGCTGGAATATACTGTTGGTGTAGAATGGTGGGGTACCAGTAAACAGCTCATACAGGATACAACCTAAAGCCCTGAAAAATATGCAAATTGTGTTAACCAGTTCATACAGTACTTGTAATGTATGGCCATATCTTATATATATGTTGTTTTTCACAGCCTTGAAGAAGTCCAATACACCCTGCAAAGCTAAGCGTGTACGAGGTACAGGGGCTCTTTTCACACAAAAATCTAACGACAAAAATTTATCCTAAGTTATACTGAAATGTGCATGACTTATGAGTGTTTTTTCTAGTAAGATATTTGTGAAATTGATTGCTGAAGGGTATTAAACATGTTAAAATAAGGCATAAAGCAAGGCTTCCAAAACGGTCATATTTATATGTAAGTTTTATATGCCTGGTATGTGATGTGACCAATCAAAAAGCTGATAATTTTTTCAAGTCTGCCACAAAACATATTTCATCAATCTAGTGAAGTCATTTTCATTCATGTTCATTCGAAAATCAAAATTTGCTATTCTCAAATAAATTGTTTAAATATAGGATGTTTTTAAATATTCTTGAACAAGTGAGAGACTTTGGGAAGTCAAAGTAAACAGATATTTAGGATGGTATCTGAAAACTGTTACACTCTATCAGGCAGTAATTCATATCAACATTTCTCAAGCTTTTCAATACTTTACATATGCTATGGCAATTCAAAGATTAAATGCTATTTCTGAGCACTTTGTGGGATTCATTGTATGTATTTAAATGGATGGACATCATTTATGCATATGGGAATATATCATATATTCAGCTGTGTATGCTGAGAGAACAGGTGCCAATTTTGCCTAAATGTCCAGCATAATTAATCATTTTTTAATTCTGACAAATCATTTCTAATATTTGCTATATACCAAAATTGTAAATGTAATTGAGGACATTGTTATGATGATCTCACAGTAACTTGACATACAGATATTTGTAGCTTTTTTAATAGGTAAATTACGTCTTAACAGCGCACAGCATTTCTATTTTTATTTCGAGTATTTAATTTGTTTTAATATATATCTCTTGTTCATCCACTATATAAACTATTTTTAGCACTTAAAAAAATAGTGTTCTCTAAAAAACAAACTTACCACAAGTCAGCTGTATGATCATAAGGTTTCTCTTCAACAAGTTCTGGTGACATATACAATGGTGTACCCTGAAACAGAGCACGACATAAGATAAAATAAAGATAAAAGATAAAATAGACAGCATTATTTCACACGAAAAAAGCTTGCTACGGGATATTATTATTCTACATGTTCCTTTTTCTTTAGCTATGTGTAAACGTTGAACTTTGTATGCCATATGGTCATAGTTGAAGTCCGTATAGTGACCTATAGTTACTAACTTCTACTTCATTTTGTCTCTGGTGGAGAGTTGTCTCATTAGCAATCAAATCACATCTTACAGTTAAAAAGTTTGTCTTGCACTCCAAAAGATATTGGAATGATTCAATTTCTGAAAAACAGAAATTAAAGATCATGCCTAAATGGCAATTACTTGCTTAGATCAACTCAATACATCCCAAACCAAAGTAGTTCAATTGACAAATGTAGGTCACAGTGACTTCTATCTTGATACTATCATACTGACCTACACTCAAGGGTGCATTTATAGTGATTAAGATTTTAACACAATGTTGACCTCTGTACCCCAATTTTTGACATTTTTACCTATTATGTCTGTTTGTTTTGCTCACACATTGTTGCCAATATAATGGAATTCTATGAGACTGTCATACAAGTGAGAGGTTTAGCTAGATATAAAACCAGGTTTAATCCACCATTTTCTACATAAGGAAATGACTGGACCAAGTCAGGGATATGACAGTTGTTTTCCATTCATTTGATGTGTTTGAGCTTTTGATTTTACTGTTTGATAAGGGACTTTCCGTTTAAAATTTTCCTTGAAGTTAGGTATTTTTGTTATCTTACTTTTTTCATACACTGTATGAAATTATACACTATTTAACACAATCCTGTTATGTACAGTGACTGAGATATTATAATCTTTGAAATGAAACTTGATCAAAATCAATGAAGATGAAAAGGTAGGTCACAAAAACCTTATTTGTCAATATAATGACTTAAAAAAACATACATCAGTAATAAAACATATATTATGTGCTTATTGAAGTCTTGTACAATGACTATTAGAGCAGAGCTCACCTTAATGGATGTCAGAACCAGTGTATTAAAACTCATAGCTCTGGCAAATCCAAAATCACAAAGTTTGATAATTCCCCCCTTTCCAAGTAGGATATTTTGTGGTTTCATGTCTCTGTGGAGTATTCTGTGTGAGTGGAGATAATACAGAGCTGATACCAACTGACAGGCTATCACCTGTACCTGGAATGAAAAAAAAAAATCACATGTATGTATCATTAGAATCCGTAATTTTGATTGGCTGACAATATTCCTCTGGCACTCCAATATCATATGTTATTTCTGTATAAAAATACAACATCTATGATTGCTCATGCTATCCGTAACAATGTTAAATAATGCATTGAAAAAAAAACAACGAAAACCTTGATATAACTCTTAATTTTATAGTTCTAGAATAAAAATGTAATTATAAAAATTTAATACTTCTTGTTATAATTCTATAGGGTTGTAAAAGTATTGATTGTAAGCATATTTTTTAATAAGAAGCTCTTTCGCGCTTCATACCAAATGTGATTTGGTCAATGCTTTTACACCCCCAATAACATTATAAAAAGAAGCATTCAATTCTTAAATAATAGTAAAAAATTAGGCCACATCAAATATACTTTGATCTTCTGAAATCCAAAAGTCAAATCTAGAGAAAGTTTAAATAACAAAATGACTATAAGTTATATGAAATTATGATAGGTGATAAAGTATGCTAGAAGTTTTGAAATAATATTTTAAATCAAACGTCACTGTAAACCACAAACGCACATGTATTAACCCCACCTCAAACATTAGGTTTGCAACAGTCTTTATTATATATTCTCTTTTGACTCCTAATTAAATCTAAAGAATCCTAAATTTAGAAACCAAACTCATGACATTTAATGGTAAAAATTCATAACAATCCATGAAGGTTTACAAAAGAGTTTAAACCCTGACTGTCTGTAAATGTTAACTGTAAAAAACTAAGTCCCTCTATTAGAAAATACTGAAAATGAAAAAAAAAAATATTTTCAAAAGTTTACTTTTGACATTATTAATTGATGTGTAACAAATTTCAACCCCAGACTGAATCTATTTGTTAAATGTAATAAAAACTCCATTTATCAGTTAAATACTGTATTTTGGTCATAACTAAGCTTCTGTCCAAATTTCCTAAAATTCCATTAAGGTTTGACAAAGTTATTGATGACTAAAAAAACTTTAACCTCAGACTGTATCTACTTGTTAACTGTCAAAAAACTAAGTCTATTTATCAGTAAAATACGGAAAAATGAAAATAAATATCTTCAAAATTTTGCTCTGGATACTGTATTTTGGTCATAAACAAGCATCTGTCCAAATTTTATAAAATCCATGTAGGTTTGACAAAGTTATTGATTTCTTAAAAAAACTTTAACCACAGACTGAACCTAGATGTTGACGCCTCCAACGCCAACGACATAATCTATGATCGCTTTGTATAGACTTTCTTAAGCTTGACAAAAATCTGCTATATCAAACTTGGCCTCTATTTTGTCATGAAAAACAACATAGCAAAATTTGAAAACCATTAGTTCACAAGAAATTGCACGAACACAGCTCATTCAGCTGGAGCCACCAACCTAACCACCAGTTGCACTACCCCAAATTAATAACATGATCCAATTGAATAAAATCTGACAAATAGATTAAAAAATATCAATCTAGAGAGATTCTGATAATTTGTACTTTATATGGAGGAATTCCTATTAGGTTTAAGTAAAAAAATCAGGGTTAGTGATGAAGAGACCACAAAATAATATTACTTTTATCATATAGGTGATTTTAATTATTAAAGCAAATACCTGTTCCTCAGGCAAACTTCCATCATCTTCTAAAATCTGGAATAATTCTCCTTCAGCATAATCTGTCACAACAACCACCTGGTGACAAAGACTCAGTAATTTAATATTCAAAATATGATAATCAGAACACATTATAAAAGTTGTTTAAGTCCAATATTGGTATTGGACACTTATCCCTTTTAACCACTTAACTAATTCCTCATAATGGCTAAGTCTTCTTTTTTTATCCCAAGATAAATAATGTATGGGTAAAACACAATATTTCTTTTCCACGAATTAACTAGGGAAGTGTGGATTATACAAACATTACCATACCTATCAATGTTCTTTAAGTAAAAAAATTTTATCTATAAGATGTGCTGACACACTTAAGTGTCTCGATTGATCCAATATATATGAATCAACAAAATTCTAAAAAGACTATTTATAAAATGTGCTGACACACTGAAATTACCATCTTGATCTAATATTTGAATCATTTTAATGATAAATGGATGGAAACTTGAACAGAAGTTTACTCTATAGAATTGTTTTACATTTGTTTTCCCTGTGGACTTTTAAAGCTTACTATACCACAGAGATTTTGCTCATTGTTGAAGAAGGTAAAAAGACCTGTAGTTATTTACATCCATGTTCCTTGGAAAGGTTTGTGTGAAAGTAAAACTAGTTTTATACCTATACAAAGTCAGACTTTCTAGACCATGCGTTGTTTGTTGTTGGTCAGTGGTGTAGCCAGGGTGGAAATGATGTGGATGTGTAACTGTCGCCGAGCGGAGCGAGTCGAAAAAATTTGGGACCATTTTATGCAGAAAATTATATTTTTTCGGACAATTTCCCTGTATACATGCATGTGTACTCCACTACAATCCGACACTAGTTGGATTTTTGTTTAATTTCGAAAAATCCACCAATATATATAATATTTCCAACAGAATTTTATTGTTATATCGAATCTACCATCATTCAATTCAGAAATATTTTATGTAAAAGTTTCACATCCAATCTTATATTTGACATCTCAAAACAGACTCATTACAGCGGCACTTCTATGTATGGAACTTCGGAATATAGGAAATGAAGTGACCCCCTTTCCCGGAATTCGAGCCTGCTCAAGGGGTTTTTGATCACTTGTCTTCACGCTTTGCAGGGGACATGGAAATACCGGGCGTCCGTACGTTCCGTCTTGTAAGCGCTGTCATGTGTACAATTCTTGCCAGATTTTTGTGAAACTAATATCATCAGCAATGTCTTTGACACTTGCGAAAATAAGTCCTGATCAAATATTTTTAACCAATTATGCCCCTTGGAAATATAAATTATAATGGAAATCCCATTGTATTTCATCTGAAGCTTTTATTTCTCTCGAGATATTAATAAAAAAACCTTTAAAGAAAAAAGTGATTTTTTAATTGTTGCCCTTGTATCTTGGATAGATAAAATATGTGCAATGCAGGGACATTGGAACTCTGTTCTTTTATTGAAAATAAAATAAATACTTGTATCTAGATGGAAACCCGGGAATGATAACACTCCAATACAAATAGAGTTTTTATCACGTCGTCTTTCGTGTCACAGAAAACGATATCAGGATATGATGGTTTATTTTTTAACTAGTAACGCTGCTATGTCATCGCTCTGCTTGGCTCAATTTCAGACCAAACATGTCGGCAGGTCTGCGTATCATCATCATCCTCTGCGCTTGCCGTAGCCGATGACGTAGACTTTTTACGAAAAAACTTTTCTTCGATTAATCCATCTTGTTTACATAAACTAAATGATCCTAAAGGAAAGCCTAAGACCACGCATACTGCTTCGGAAATGATTGGAAGCAGCAGCTATTCTCATATCCTCACCCATGTTACATTCGGATACCACCGTGTGTATCTGCTGTGAATACATGCAATTATATTTATTTTTTTATTTTTTTATTTTTTTTTGTCAAAATGATGTGGATGCTTGAGCATCTGAGCATACATGCAAGCTACGCCACTGTTGGTCGTCTTTGTTTTTACATTTGTTTTTGAAGGATGATGGATGGCTGCTTAACGTCCAGCGGAAAATAGTTATGCATATTTAGGACGGGAACATGTTAATGTAATATGAATATAACCCTGCTTTGTACTAGACCGACACACTGAGCTGGCTTTTTAACACACTAGTTCACTAGGTAACAGTCCACAGGAAGACATGTCACCCGGACACATTATTTTGACTCCGAGCCGACCAGTCTTTGCTCTTACTCCTTAATGCTGCGCGCTTAGCGTAGAAGCAGCAAATACCAATTTTAAAGTCTTTGGTTTGACCCGGCCTTGGTTTGAACCCATGACCTCCCACACTCCAGGTGAAAAAACTACCATGAGACCACTGAGGCGGTTGTTTTTGAAGGATGTTGGTGAATGGTTTGGCCTGTTGTACTGCCCAACATTTTTGGTAATTCCCTCTTAATATCCTTTTCCATGTAAAATTAATTTTAATAACTGTCTATGTCATACCTCTTTGTCAGTTTCAAAACTGTCCAACATTTCAATAATATTTTCATGATGTAAGTTTCTCATGATCTCGATCTCTCTTCGTAAGTTTCTTAACTCCTTTTCTGGTTTTCCTACTTTTGGAATGAATTTTAAGGCCACCACCTAAAATACATACAAGATATTATTTAAACGGTTATATCTACAGAATTGTATTTAAATGAGCTGCATCAGATAGAAATTGACCTTATGCAAATGAATATCAATACATCTGTTAACCTATTTCTGTTGAAAATATCTCTACATGCTCTATGCAAAGTCTGTAACTGTTTGAAAATTAAGTTGATACAAAACAGGCCAAAATTCATCTTTTATTTCGTATTTGAATGTTCCAAAATCAATCAAAGTCTTGTACATGTACATGTACATCATGCATGTCATGTATATGTTCACTTGCATAAGGTTGATTTAAATATTTAAGATGATTGATTGTTGCTTACTTCAAGTTCATTTTTAGATGAAATTTAACCATTAATGATTTTATATCTTCAAACATGTGCTTGTGATTTACATCATTGCATAATGTTATACTTTTCTTCATCTCTCAAATAAAAAAAAAAATATTTCGGTAATTTAATAAAAATCATCCACCCACAAGCATTTGAATATTAGAATTTAAATCTTGGTGCAATGCTCTACAAACCTTTAATATAAAATTTGTAAGGGTTCCGCGGAACCCAGTGTCTGGCCTACTTTTGCTGTTAGTCGCAGGCTCAACAAAAATGGGGAAAAAATTATTAAAAATTTTCCTCTAGATACGATCTTTTGATTGTAAGAAGTTCTGTTCAAGTTTGTTAAGAATCCAAGAAGGAATCTAATAAATGTTTTAAAAACTTTTACTGCAGACTGTACGTAATGTTAACTGGAATAAAAATAAGTCCGTTTATAAGTAATATACGGAAAAACAGGAAATAATTTTTTACAAAATTTCCTTCTAGATACTAGCTTTTGATCATAAACAAGCTTCTGTCCAAGTTTGGTACAAATCCAGGATAGTTTAAGAAAGTTATTAAAATTCTGAAAGCTTTAACCACAAAGTGAATGTAATGTTAACTGGCAGAAAAACTAAGTCCATTTATAAGTAAAATACAGACAAACTGGATTTTTTTTTAACAAAATTTACTTTTGAATACTATACTATGATCACAAACAAGCTTCTGTCCAAGTTTGGTACAAATACAGGATAGTTTAAGAAAGTTATTAAAATTTTAAAAACTTTAACCACAGAGTGAATGTTATGTTAACTGGCAGAAAAACTAAGTCCATATATGAGTAAAATACGGATAAACAGGTTTTTTTTTTCACAAAATTTTCTTCTGGATACAATCTTATAATTATAAACAAGCTTCTGTCCAAGTTTGGTACAAATCTAGGATAGTTTAAGAAAGTTATTAAAATTTGAAAAACTTTAACCACAGAGTGAATGTAATGTTAACTGGCAGAAAAACTAAGTCCATTTATGAGTAAAATACGAATAAACAGGATTTTTTTTTTAACAAAATTTACTTTTGAATACTATACTATGATCACAAACAAGCTTCTGTCCAAGTTTGGTACAAATCCAGGATAGTTTAAGAAAGTTATTAAAATTTGAAAAACTTTAACCACAGAGTAAATATTTGTGGACGCCGCCGCCGCTGACGGAATGTAGGAATGCTATGTCTCGCTTTTGCGACAAAAGTCGCAGGCTCGACAAAAAGGTGAAAAAAAAAGATGCATGCAGTCGATTAAATTATGCAATAAATACATGCCTTGCATGCCTTTTATACATTGACACACATATTACATATTTTCTACATGGAAATGTGCAGTGTATGATTTTTGTGTGTACTGAAGACATGTTTTTACCTGTGATGAAAACTTTTTTCTTCCTTTATAGACTTTACCAAAAGATCCTTCACCAATAATTTCCAGAACATGATAGTTGTCCATTTTTAGTTTATTCTTCCTGGAAAAAAAATGTTATACATGCATTGCATTACTTTTAATAACTAATGTTTGTAATAAACTATTTTCGTATTACCATCTTTTTACTTCAGATTTTATAATTTTTCGACAGGTTACCTACTCTGTGGTAGGACATCCTGGTACTTGGTCAGGTAGGAGCAACCAAAAGAAGTAAAATCAAACATATAATCAGTGCAACTTGGGGGGAAAGTTTACTGTTTTCCGAAGATTTTGTTGTGTATAGAAAACATACAACAGTTAATTTCCCACCTAAATTGTACCGATCGTAAGTTTGATTTTACTTCTTTCGGATGCTCTTACACCAAATGATGTAGAAGTTTACAACTATAGGTCACCGTACAGCCTAAACAATGAGAAAAACCCTTCCCCATAGTATGCTGTAAAAGGCCCAGAAATGACAAATATTAAACAAATAAAACGAGAAAACCAACTTCATCAATTAAACTGATCGAAAAGATTATGTCTTCAACCTGTGAAAATCAACCACAATCCATCCTGTTAAGGGTTTAGTACATGATACATTTATAATACAATGATCAAATTTTGCTGCATCTCAAAGCCTTTTACAAACCAAAGTCTGTTTAGAATTGCCCACAATTGTGCTTAATAACATAAATAAAGTAAGAACCTAGGACCCCTTCCCCCTTTCTAATAAATATATCTAACAAGAGTAACTAGTGCACACGCTGAAATGTCTCGCCTTCTTTACTAACCATTGATTTTATGTTGATAGTCCTAAATACAAAGCTTTACTACAAGTAACACATAAACTTAACATGATCCAAGTGGAGTCAAGGTCAGATAAACCAAACGAGAAATACATGTACACCTTACAATCATTCAATAAACCAAACATAGTTGACCTATTGCTTATTGTTTCTAAGAAACCGTCTTAAACAAGAAAACTTAACATTGACCAATGAACCATGAAAATGAGGTCAAGGTCAGATGAACCATGCCAGACAGACATGTACACCTTACAATCAATTTAGGCATTAAATATAGTTGACCTATTGCTTATAGTATCTAAGAAACAAACTTAACCATGAAAACTTAACATTGACAATGAACTATGAAAATGAGGTCAAGGTCAGATGATACCTGCCAGACAGACATATACACCTAATTACAATCCTTCCATACATCAAATATAGTTGATCTATTGCTTATAGTTGAAGAAAAACAGACAAAAGCACAAAAACTTAACACTGAGAAATGAACCGTGAAAATGAGGTCAAGGTCAAATAAAACCTGCAAGACTGGCATGTACATCATAAAATATTTCCATACACCATTTATAGTTGACCTACTGCATATAGTATAAGAAAAAAAGACCAAAACTCAAAAACTTAACTTTGACCACTGAACCATGAAAATGAGGTCAAGGTCAGATGACACCTACCAGTTGGACATGTACACCTTACAATCATTCCATATACCAAATATAGTAGACCTACTGCTTATAGTATCTGATATATGGACTTGACCACGAAAACTTAACCTTGTTCACTGATCCATGAAATGAGGTCGAGGTCAAATGAAAATTGTCTGATGGGCATGAGGACCTTGCAAGGTACTCACATACTAAATATAGTTATCCTAATACTCATAATAAGAAAGAAATTAACATTACAAAAAATGTTGACTTTTTTTTTCAAGTAGTCACTGAACCATGAAAATGAGGTCAAGGAAATGGACATATGACAGACGGAAACTTCGTAACATGAGGCATCTATATACAAAGTATGAAGCATCCAGGTCTTCTAGCTTCTAAAATATAAAGCTTTTAAGAAGTTAGCTAACGTCGCCGCCGGATCACTATCCCTATGTCGAGCTTTCTGCGACAAAAGTCGCAGGCTCGACAAAAATGATTAAGGACAAATAAAGAAACGTATTCACTTATATACATAGGAATCAGTACAAAGAGGGATAACTCCAATGTTAACTTGTATCTCTTTTTCCTGTCTCATCTGGAAATTTTTTATTTAGGGTCCAGATAAAGACAATTTAAAACTGTATTATAATATAAATCTTCATTTGTCATGATCAAGATATAAGGAATTTCTTAATGTATTTTTTTTTAATAGGTCTATTGATCTATAACATGTATAAGGAACCATTTTCAATGTCGACTGGAAATCCCCATATTTCCCCCCTAAATAATAGGATTTTGTAACGAAACATAAATATAAATTTAACATGTGCTTATGGATAATGTTAGGGAGATTACTTCTTTTATTTATTTATTTTGGAAACAGATATCCAGTTTGAAGGTTCAGTCATGCATTTTTATTTATACAATAGATTGGAACTAAGTAAACCTGAATTTTCAACATAAATAAATTGGGTCATGTGAGATCATGTGATATGTACAGGTGTCGGTCCAATGAAATTTACCATATTGACAGGTAATACAGTTTGGCACCCAACTATTATGCAATAAATATGCCATAATTAAAGATCATTTTAAATAGCAATGGTTTAATCTGTTAATGTAGTAACATGTTTATTTTGATGAATATCGGAATCATGTGCAGTCCGATCGAGAAATTTTCAAAAGACATGAGGGGAATTGGGGAATTGTAAATCCACGGCAACATTAACTTCTCCTTCAAGCTTCAGTAAAGAGCAAAGTGGGGAATCCATGGGCGATAATGTTGCTCACTTTGCATAGTGTGTTGACCCCTGGTTATTACGATTAAGATAAAAAAAATTACTGATTACTGTTGATTAATGTTGATTGTACTAACTTCTGTAATAAATGTTCTTAGTATATACCAATCTAAGTTGTTTTTTATGAATGACAGGGGTGTGGAAATCCTATGCCCAACTCTCCCGACTCGTACATTTGACAGAATTTTTTGTGTCCTTGTTGCCCATGGACAACATGGACAAGTAAAATGAAATGTTGCTTGACAATGTTAATTTATATAACGGTAACCCATATAGAAAAGTCCTCAAAATTTATTCATCAAAGTAGGAAAAATATCAAATAACCATGATAACAAGACGAAAGCAACATGTTTAAGTAAAACAACATCAATGATCAAGAAATAGAATGATTATCAAACAACTAAAAATAAGTATGCGGACCAGGGTTTCATTAATATTCTGCAATTTTTTTCGTTGATCAGGTTATAGCAACGATACACCAGAAATGGTCATTATTAATTTTAAAGTTCTATAATGTTTTGATTTCGCTTAGATATCATAAAAAATCTCAAATTTACAACTGGCCTACCAAAAGTTTTTTTTGGGGAAAAGGGGGGGGGGGGGGGGAGGGGATGAAGGGGGGTGCAAACCACAATTCAATAATTCATCAATTATTTGGTTTTGACCTCCTCATTAAGTTTAATTAAAACTTTGCACAGACTCAGTGAAGAAAATATAAGTCTGAAAAACATTGCAAAATTGGCCTCTAGATTCTTTAGTTTAAAGTTGTTTTTTGGGTTGGTTTCTATCTCATTGGTGTTTACTCTACTTATCTTTTTATCATTCTAACATACAAACAAAGACCATGAATACTATTTTCATTGTGTTTCAAAACTGTTTTAGAAACATACAGGTTTAAAGTAAAATACATCTTCTTTATTCCAAAATTCATTAAGAAATCAGGGCAAGTAACTTTTCTTCTGGACAAGTATAAAAATTTAAAATTTCATTTCCCCGAGGACAAGTGGTCACAACAAATATTTCCACACCCCTGAATGAGTTACACTGTTTAACCTTTAACAATTGGCATAAATGACATCCTGGAACAATCGGTTCTTACTGTGACTTAATAACAAAAACATTGTGACATAGGAAATGTAAGGGAGAGTGCACAAATGCGAAAGTCGTCTATAATTATGCATCCTTAATAGTCATGATAACTTTCAATAAAATCATAATCAGCATAAATGCTTTAAACTGCATAATCATCATACTCATTTAACAATTAGGGTGGTAAACAACATGGTAAATTGAATGGAATATAAATATTTTACATTAAAAAATCAGTTACATGTATTTCAATATGGATTTTCATAATTTTTATTATTTCAAAAAATATTTTCATAAATGTCTCCTCTAATCAAAATTATTTACATTTTGTACTTAAATATTTGTCAACCGCATATTTTTTTTGATCTACCACCTTTAATTTGCTTTTGTTCATTAAATTCATTAATATACATAAACTACAAGCCAAATATATATAATATTTACCCCTTGTAAATATTTTTCATGTTTTTAAAATTGGGACAGGATCGACATGAAAGCCATATTAAGATTGTTCAGAAAAGAATTTTTTTCTTAGGCTACTGTTCAATATTTTTATGTATTAAATTGCCACGAAGAACTATTTTTTTTCCAGCCTGCCCTGATGGTACTGGTACAGTACTGAGGGATCCAAATAGATCAATGACAAAAGGGTCAAGATACAACCACACTCTCTGGCAACTGAATGAAAGTTGGTACTAGTATGTAACACACGGGGTAAACGTAAAGTCCAGAGAAACAGGCCAAGCAACACTATAATGTAACAAATTGCATTTTGGTTGATTTATTTAGGAATTTGTGCATGTGGCCTCCAACATGGCGGCAACTAAGATAACTCTTACTCAAATTACGTCAATCAAAAACTATCTATACCTGTTTAAGAACATCCAAACCTGCCTGTAAAAAATTTTTTCGAGAAGTTTCGAGTTTCGATTTGAAAAAACCTATGCAGAAAACGATCTAGGCATTTTATTATTTTAAACAAAAGTCAAAATTAACGGCGAAAGTGACAATAAAGAGGGTGTTGATAGGGGTTTATAGAATAGAGAATAATGGGTAAAAAATCATAAAGAATATTTGTTTTATAAAAAATTGACAAAACATAAAGAATTGAGAAAAATGAGGTGTTCAAATATAAAGAATGGAGAAAAATAGCATAAAAAATAAAGAATACAGAAATGAAGGCCTCTTCCAGATCAAAAAGAAGTGCCAGAGAATTAACTAAACTTTGATATTTAAGACTAAGGATTTGTATACAAATCCTTGTTAAGACTAACAAAAATATGAAAGAATATTAGGAATAATTTTAAACTGGTTGGGATCATACTTCAATGAGGGAATTTTTCCCCAAAAAATAACAATCCCTAAGTTGAGTAATAATTTACTAATGCTTAAAATGTCTTTTTACTTGAAATGGTACGAGTTTATGGAAAAAAGATTTTTTTTTTTGCAAAACAACTATTCTAATTTTTTATTGGAGAAAATGAGAATTTTACATTTGACCTGGAGAAAAAAACAATTTTGATAGGTTATATTCACTTTACAGATACAAAAATGTAACCACAGAATGCAGGATTTTACATCTAATTTTCCAAAATTTTCTTGGGGGGGGGGGGAGGGGTATGCCCCCAAACCCTCCTAGAAGGATCAGATCACTTTGTGATCCTCACCGGTGACACAAAATTTTTCAGGTCTAGTAAACATCAATTCGGGCTAGTAATTTTTTTATTCAACTAGCCCTATGGGCTAGTGCTTTGAAAAGTTTTTGGAACAGACTGCAACAGAACACAACATAGAAACTAAAGACTGAGCAACTGTGACTATGAGTGTGTTCCCAGTCTGTCACTCAGTGTCAGAGCCAATGTGCCATCGCTTTTTTAAGAAAAAAAGCAACATGTTCTTCAGTGTCCAAGCTAAACGTTTATGCATGAACGATAAATTACCTGCCAGGTTAAGAGTTAAAGATTAAATTTGTTGTTTTGTCGGTTCTTTTCAAGTTGTTTACATCGTTGCTGCTTGTTTCAAGTTCCCCTCTTCCGGAATTCCTGCGCTTGCGTACCATCGTTGCTTTGAGGTTTCGTATGCAAAAAGTGATAAGTTGGAGATTGTAATGAGATGAAAAAAAATATTTATATAAAAACCTCAATTCCTTAACTCTTTTAAATGTTCGAATATGATATGGTTATTTTCAACGCATATAAAAAAAAATACGAAAAAAATGCTTGAACTAAATTGCTACTTATTTTCTGAAAAAAAAATTATGGCATGTTGTGAAAACTTGGATGATGAAATGCCAACAGAACCACGACCAGAAGCACATAATATGAAGAAACCTACTTGCATAATAGTTCTTGGGATGGCAGGATCTGGAAAAACAACTTTTGTTCAGGTGACATTCGTTGACAGTTAAATATCTCGCCTCTTTTGCCATGTTTACAACTTTTTTAAGACCGTTAGACATTTGTTCCATAAATCGAAAAAGAAAGGTTTATTTTTATTCGGTACATATATCAATACAAACATAATCTTTAATAAACTTTTTACCTATTACTGATATTTTAGATCCTTAGGGATGCAAGTCAACTCCATTGCAAACTTGTACCACCTCGAACTCGTATCACTGCAAAGGTGTACCATTAAATATATACAATACATGAATGTTTGGTAGCAAGTCGTTTTGTACCTTGACCATTTAATACCTCTGCCATTTCGTACCCAACATTAACCATTTAGTACCCTATGGGCCAACTGCATATACCATTTCGTACCTCGTACTCCGGAGCACCTGTGATCACCCCCAGGTGGGGTTCGTGTTGCTCAGTCTTTAGTTTTCTATGTTGTATTTTGTGTACTATTGTTTGTCCTTTTCTTTTTTAGCCATGACCTGTTTAACTCTAAAAATACAAAGTTAATTAACCATCAAAGGAATAATTATCTGTAACCAATGGTAACTGTTTTATAGTTATTAACAGTTGTTCATGTTGTTTTTGCCAGGAAAAGCAGTGAAAAGTGACACAAACTGATGTTCACTCAAGAAGTAAGCCATGAATAAAAATGTTTGCATAATGAATTGCAGCTTCTGTGACCGTAAAATAAAATAAATGTAAGATCTGTTTGCTCTAATTTGTACATGATTCAGTAATAAGGACATGTGAAGTATACATCCATATGGTACGAAATGGCATACCAATATACATGATATAAATACTCCATGAGGTACGAAATATCATACATATAAATATTCCATGAGGTACGAAATGGTCAGGGTATGAAATGGATAGGGTATGAAATGACTAATTCAAATGATTTATGAATCGTTTTTGCAAATCTTTGAAAAAAACTAATTGATGTTACTGATTTTTGTCGAGCCTGTGACTTCTGTCGCAGAAAGCTCGACATAGGCATGAAAGGGATAGTGATCCGGCTGCGGGAACCACGGCTGTGTTAACTAACTACTTAAAAGCTTTATATTTTAGAAGGTGGAAGACCTGGATGCTTCATACTTTGTATATAGATGCCTTAGGTTATGAAGTTTCCGTCTGTCATATGTCCATTGTCCTTGACCTCATTTTCATGGTTCAGTGACTACTTGAAAAAAAGTTTTAGATTTTTTGTAATGTTAATTTCTGTCTTATTATGCGTAATAAGATAACTATATTTAGTATGTGCTAACCTTGCAAGGTCTTCATACCTATCAGACAGTTTTCATCTGACCTTGACCTCATTTCATGGATCAGTGAACAAGGTTAAGTTTTCATGGTCAAGTCCATATCTCAGATACTCTAAGCAATAGGTCTACTATATTTAGTGTATGGAATGTTTGTAAGGTGTACATGTCTCACTGTCAGGTGTCATCTGACCTTGACCTCATTTTCATGGTTAAGTGGTTAAAGTTAAGTTTTTGTGTTTTGGTATTTTTTTCTTTTACTAAATGCAAGAGGTCAACTATATTTGGTTTATGATAGTATCATAGACATTAATTGAATTGTTTGTTATCTTTATATTACTTTCTAATACCATTCTAATTCATAAATTAAATTCCTTTAATTGTGTGATTATATGTGTAATCAACTTGTTTAATCCAATTAATAAATTATGATTGGTGTTATATAATTCATCAGCTTACAATTAATATCACATGTTTAATGTCTATTATTAGTTAAAATTCCTCATCAAAACACAAACTGATATGAATCTTCTCAAAACCATATTTCCCATAAAATGGGTCATGTTTGTAATGTTCCTCATGATCTGACATTAGTGAACATGTACACTGCTCCATGACCACAACTCTACCATAGCACAAAACGAGTTGACATTGGATCGAGTTTGCAATGGTAAGAGATGAGTATCAATCGATCCTTTGGTAGTCTAGCATAACACTATGTCTGCTACTCCGGGGATCCCACATCAGTGTTCCATTTCTGCAGAAATCTAGTTTTGCATCAAGTCTAGTCAACTTGGTACCAGGTCAAATTTATACCTTTTATAATCTTTTCGACACCTCTATTTCAAAAGTATATATTTATTTTTACATAATGATGGGTACACAGTGACAATAACCCGAAAAAATAACGAAAACTGCATGAACTGATTGACAATGCCTATTTCTGTTGTCGGAATCATTTGTAGCAGGCCTTCCACATGTTCCAAGAAGGTCAACTGTAAATTATTTGTTCTTCTCACATCTAACATTGTCTAAATGGCAGTGTTGACATCTTAGTGAAAGGTTAAATATAAATAGTGTTTCCCAGAAAATCTGTTAGTTTTTCTCTCAACATGCTGAGTACAATGAAATAGAAGTTGTCATCCATATACATGTAGTACATTTCTAATTTTGAGTTAGTCATTGAGTTAATAAGTACATGCTGTTTTACCAATTTGAACTGATACAAGTCATTCAAGTAAAACATATGGAATATTCTGTTAAATTTACGCATTGTAAGATTAACGTCAGAAATAAAAGATCTTGAGGAACCAGCTGTGAGTCAATTAAAATTAAATGGCGGTAAATCATTTTAAAATAAAAAAATGTAATTCACTGTTCCAGCTCATAGACCAAAGTATCTCATAAATGTCATACTCCAACATGGTCAACCAGACTCTTTTATCAGCAGTTGTAAAACTCTCACCATGTTCACAAACAATTTAAATGATTTAATTGAATAATATTATTGTGAGTACATCTTTTTTAAAGTACAAATAAAGTTGTATTTTAGGATTACTTCACTGATAGATTTTATAGGAGCTTTTTATATGATGTTCTATTTATTGTTAAATGAAACTTATTTCACAAAAATATTTTACAGAGAATTACAGCTTGCCTTCATGCAAGAAAGAAACCTCCTTATGTCATTAATTTGGATCCTGCTGTTCATGAAGTGCCTTTTCCAGCAAATATTGGTATGTTGACTTGAGTGATACATTTTTGTTATTATCATATACGTATAGCTCACATGGCCCAAAAGTGGGTATGGACTTATTGCCATAACTGTCAGTTGTCTATGAACTATGAGAAACTTTTCATACATTTGTATGTCCATCTTATTTTATTTTTAGCAAACTTTGCATGCATAATGTATGGAAGATAATCTACACATGCCTACTGTAAATTCGGAAATTATTGCGATTATTTATTATCGTGATTGTTGAACATTTAAAACACATGCAAGTTTATTTTTTGCGATTCATGATTTAATGCTGTTAAATTTAAAATGCAAGTTTTTATACGACCGCAAAAAAATTTTCGGCGTCGTCCGAAGACACTTGGTTTTCGCACTCTAACTTTAGTTTAAGTGAATGGATCTTTATGAAATTTTACCACAAGGTTAATTACCACAAAAGGAAGGTTGGGATTGATTTTGGGGGTTATGGTAATAACAGTAAAGGAATTAGGGGCCAAAAAGGGGCCAAAAATAAGCATTTTTGTAACTTCCAGACATAACTTGTGTGTTAGTGTATGGATCTCTCTGACATTGTACCGAAAGGTTCCATATCACTAAAGGAATGCTGGGATTAATTTTGGGGGTAATTGCCTCCAAATTTTAGGAATTAGGGGCCAAAAAAGGGGCAAAAAACAAGCATTTTTCTAGTTTCATGACAATAACTTGTGTGTAAGTGTATGGATCTTTCTGAAATTGTACTACAAGGTTCCATATCACAAAGGGAAAGCTGGGTTTGAGTTTGGGGGTAATTGCCCTAAACGTTTAGGAATTTGGGGCCAAAAAGGGGCCAAAAAACACATTTTTTTCTAGCTTCCAGACAATAACTTGTGTTCAAGTGTATGGATCTCTCTGAAATTGTACTGCAAGGTACCATACCACAAAGGGAAGGCTGGGATTGAGTTTGGGGGTGATGAATCATAATGGGGGTTCAAAAAATTTTTGGGGGGGATTTATTTTTTTTCCTTTTTTTCTTTTTTTCCTTTCTTGTTTCTTTTAAAATTTTCCATTTTAAGTTGGTTAATTCTGATTTATATTTAAAATCAAATAATAATGATATGGTAGGAGATACACACCAAACAGGATGTGTAAATTATTATATAATAAGTATTGTGCAATAGCAAGAAATTTTCAATTGCACAGTATTGCACAATAGCAAGAAATCTTCAATTGCACAGTATTGCGCAATAGCAAGAAATCTTCAATTGCACAGTATTGCGCAATAGCAATAAATATCCAATAGCACAATATTGCGCAATAGCAAGAAATTGTCAATTGTACAGTATTGCGCAATAGCAAGAAATATTTAATAGCACAGGATTGTGCAAAAGAAGATACTTCCTATAAATTGCCTTTTTCTTGACCAATTTCAATGGGGTTTTATTCTTGATTTCATGGGGTTTTTTAATATGCTGAATCTAACCGTGTATTTAGTTTTTGGATTTTGGGCCCCGTTTTTAAATTGGTCCACATTGAGGTCCAAAGGGTCCAAAATTAAACTTTGTTTGATTTCATCAAAAATTGAATTATTGGGGTTCTTTGATATGCCGAATCTAACTGTGTATTTAGTTTCTTAAATTTTGGTTCCGTTTTCAAATTGGT